TACTGTATGCTTTGAGACTAGATTCCGTAATGTTTCCCCATATCTTTGTTTTTAGTTTCAGAAACCACCAATGATTCGATAATACATGATGTGGTTGAAAATCATGTTGCAGACCAACTTTCATCAGACATTACACCAAATGCTATGGATACTGAATTCTCAACATCTTCTCCAGCCAGTTTACTGGAACGGCCAACCAATCATACAGAGGCTCTTGGTCATGACCATTTAGGAGCTAATGACCTCACCGTTGGTGGATTTTTAGAAAATCATGAGGAGCCAAGAGATAAAGAACAATGTGCTGAAGAGAACATACCAGCATCTTCACTCAACAAAGGAAAGAAATTGATACATTGCAGAAGCCATGAAGAGGTCAATACTGAACTAAAAGCACAAATAATGAAAGAGATCCGAAAACCAGGAAGAAGTATGTATAATAAGAGACAAACCTCAAATATGATTTCTGGATGTGCTCAAAAAGCAAAAAAAAAAAGTAATGGTAGTAAAAGAATAGATATGATTCTAGATCTGTCTTGAACAACAGCTCAGTTAAGGTTCTTTATTCAACTACCAATACTGAATATCTTCTACTTCCAAGGTACTAGGTATGGTAGGCAGCAGGGACTGAGAGCAGAGCAACACTATACAGATAAATTACATGTAGTCCCTACTTTGACAGGAACCCATAGTCTTGAGAATTCTTCTGACCAACAATATAATCTTAATATAGCAGCTAGCTCACAAAGATATAGTGAAAATCAAATGGCTTTATGTCTGTAAAGTTTTTGTCACAGTGTCTACCACTATGTTTAACAGTTATGATAGTGATATCATAGGATATGTTTAGGCTGAAAAACTAAAGTTATGAAAGCTATCTAGTGTATGAACACAAAATAACTTTGGGGGAAAATATTCAGTATTACTGGCATTTATTTAGAGGATGTTAACAGATCACTTCCCCTGGAGTAATACAATGACCTGGGTGGTCCAGAAGTGGGTACGAATCAGTCCTTGGAGTTTAGGAGTTTATAGCCCTTGCAGAGTTTCATGTGAAAACTTTAAACTGAAATAACACTCTTGACCTGTTTGGTTTTTTCCCCCCACTTCCCACTTACCCCCCATGTTAGCTGTTAGAATTTTAAACTGTAAGATGGAGTTTTGTAAAGGCCACTTGTTCTTATTTTTTAGTGGTACTACCAAAAAAACTGTTAACTCATCCTTTTACGTTTTATGTGTAATAGGGACTTTTACTTAAAAAGCAGGATTTGATTAGTTTTATCTTTGTTGCTATATACTTTTACATATATGTTAAAATATAAAGTCTCGAATGAATGGTGAAATTTTTATGTAGAATGTTTTTGTCTCAGTATATCTTAATAAACTGCAATCAAATATTGAATAAGAATACAAATAAAAGCCACTTAATTTTTCTTTTTGCTTCTTTTGCTTTAAGAATATGAAAGAATCTTCACTTTACTGAAGCATGTGCAAGGCAGTTTACAGACAAGACTAATATTTTTACAAAATGTCATTAAAGAAGCATCAAGGTAAATAAACTATTGCATATGATGAAATGAGTCCCCAGTTTATATAAGCAGTATTTTAACAGTAACTGTTTCATACTTGTGTTGTTTATAAATGTATATTCCATACCAACATATAAGTAAATTATTCTTTTCTAGAAAACAGCCACATACACATTCTTCAGGAATTATGGACCTTTTCTCCCTGCAAATTACTAGATACTTGGAGAATTCTTGTTGATTCTTTGCTGTAGCTTTTTGATATCTTTACATTAATATTTTACAACCTTTAATTTTTCTCCTTTATACATTAATATTAATTGTAAAAATTACATAATCTAAATCTAAAAATAACATAAGCAATACTTGAATGTCATTTATTTTTACATGGGAAAATGTAATTAAGGGGACCAGAATTGGACAAATGGGCCTTGTTCTGATTGTTTCAGTAGCTCAGGATTATTAGTATATTTGTTCTCTGTATCTGTGGGTTCCACATTCGTGGATTCAGACAACCATAGATTGAAAGTATCTGGAGGTGGGAAATGGATGGTTGTGTCTGTATTGAATATGTACAGGCTTTTTTTTTTCTTATCATTCTCTAATTCAGTCTAACAACTACTCTTATAGCATTTACACTGTATTAGTATTATAAATAATCTAGAGATTATTTTGAGCATATGGGAGAATATACATAGGTTACATGCAAATATTGGGCTATTTTATACAAGGGACTTGAGCATACATGGATTTTGTTGTTCATAGGGAGGCTTGAAATCAATCCCTCGTGAATATGCGGGATCACTGTATAAAGAAAGTAGATAAAGGTTATAAATGGCAACTAAGAAGTGTAATTAACTGGAAAACAGTTGTATGAGTTTAAAAACATTTTTTATTTTTCCTTCAAGATTTTGGGAATTTTAGTATTGTAAGACAAGTTGGGGCTTATCTCATCTGACCTTCTAAATGTAAACACACTTACCCTTTGTCCCCCTCTCCCTTCTATACTACCCATAAAAATTTTAGATAAAGTTGCTTTTTTTTTTCTTGCTATCTTTTTACTTCTTTTCTTTGGAGTGGCTAGAGCACAAGTCACTTTGCAGGATCAAGATAAGTCTACAACTTTTTATATAGTTTTGAGTATTTAACCTGTTAATGCTCTTTATGGTGACATTCTGTCCACTAAAACCTCATTAGGAATTTAACTATATTCCTGGTATCTGTAATTCACTTCTGCCACCTTTTAGAGAATTGTGTAGTATTATGGTGGCTATTTAGATTAGCTTGCAAGTAGCAAGGAAATAGGAATAAAATGTCCAGTGAAATGGGATATTCTAAAAACCATCAGCAATTATGTAGATGATGCAATTTTAGTCTACCCAAATTTTTTACTGAAAATTTTTAAAAATTGTCACTTGAATTTTAATTGCTTTCTATACTCAGTATTATAGATATCTATCCTTGATTTGCTAGCTTTCAAATTGTAGTAGAATACCATGGCTTTTAAATGCTACTCCCCAGTTTTCATTTCTTCTTCCATTTTTTGGGAGATTATATTCATACTTTGTTCACATTCCTTTCAATGTTCAGCTTACAAAGAGCATGAGAAGAAGCTACTGAAGTATATGCTTTGGGAGCCCAAATTTCACTAGAGTGTTTGCAACCCTTGAATATATTTTGAATATATTAATTTTTTGTTTCTTTTTGTTTGTTTTTTCCTATTTCTTTTTGGTTGTGGAAGGAACAACCTCTTTTCCATTGTTTAAACCTAGAATGTTTTAGGGACAAATTATAATACTGTACTAGTACAATAATTTGCTAATCTTTCAACATAATTTTGTGTTATAGTATTGATTTTTCTGTTTTCATTTCACTTTGAAAAATCTTCCCAAAGCAATTTTCTCTCTTTAAAAAAAATTTTTTTACTGGTATATACTATTCATTAAAAAATAATTGAGAGTACTATTTATTTTTTCATACAGGTTTAAAAAACGAATGCTAATAGAACAACTGGAGAACTTCTTGGATGAAATTCATCGAAGAGCCAATCAGATCAACCATATTAATAGCAATTAAAAGAAAATAGAATGTGGCCACTTATTTCACTATCTTCTTCAAATACAAAGTAAATACAAGACTGTTGTGATCTTGCATTCATTTTCTGACATGCATTGTTGGCTATTTGAAATACTAAAAGCAAATCTACAGATCCTTTTTCCATCATTTTACAGTGACCTTTTCTTCATTTTGGTTTATTTTTGTAATGTGAAAAGTATCACTCTAAAAAACATTTTTATTTAACAAACTAAAAATATTCCTCCAAATCTCTTGCTTGTCATTGACTCTTGCGTGTCATTGACTCTTGCGTGTCAATTTCCCTCAGGTTCTATTTTCTTAAACCAACCTTTAAAATTGTCACCTCTGTTAAGGTTGAACTTTGCCAAAAAAAAAAAAAAAAATTGAAGTTACTTTGTAATTTTTGGGGAAAAAAGCACATACATTAAAACTAGGTAATGTTTTGTATATACAGTTATTTTGGATATATTATTGTAAGTTGTACAAATGTATTTTGAAGAATATTTAAGAAAAGCACTTTTGTTATTCCATCAATAAATACTCTATTTTACTCTTGTGTGGTTTAGGAAGTAATCACATTTAAAGTAATCATTTAAAAACATCCTAAGATAATGGAAATTTAAAGGCCTTGCTTTTTAGCATTGGAAAAATACACCACTTGAAGTTCATGTTTGTTAAGCCTAACTGTAATTACATGTTACATAATCTGCATTGCCTTTTTACTATGTTTGTAGTTTTTGTTGGCCAAGCCAACATACTCCCATTTCTGCCCAGATTATGGGAATGACTTCATCTGGTGCAGATAGATACTTTAAAAGCTATTTAAAAAGCAGACAACTTTGGATATTACTGGTTTCCTTACTTCAACACCTTTTCCTTTCTCACTAGGATTGTGGGTGGCACAAAGTTTAAGCTATTAGCTAGGGAGTGGTAGGTTTGGAGTGCACTACATACTCTGAAATACCTAGCCTTTAGCAGCTTCATGCCTGCTTCCAAAGAAGCCCACAACAAATTGGAGACCTCTTTGTTCTGCTCTACTGTTCTCATACTTAAATTCTATTTTATTTATAAGCTAAATGGAAAGGAAACACCTTTAAGATGACTTTGCTCATTTTGCATCCCCCCTGAGTTTCACAGGATAAGGAGAACCACACTATTCATTCTCCACCCTCACTTCAACATGGCCTGGCATATCCTTACTGAGGAAGCGATCTTATGGCCAGACTCACTAACCATTCATAGATCACTGCTGTGCCTTTTAGTGGTTTGGGGGGTAACCAATAGAAAAGAAGGTCAAAATAGATTTGGATTAAGAGTAGGCAAAATAAACTTATAAAATTTAAAAATTGAAGTATTTTTAGGTTTATAATATTGAAAATCACATACCCTTATCTTTTTACACTTTATCAGAACATTTTTTAAATTTCAAGGGTATAGCAAAGTGAAATTATAACTTTATGAAGAAAAGCATCGATGAAAGTGGATAACATGCATTTAGTCTAGGGGATTTGAAACTCTTCCAATACTGAAGACAAACCCTGTCAAGAAAAAGAAGAATTTAATGTAATATTATATAGTATTTTCATATGCAGTTCTTTAAACTTTGTTTACTTCTACACAAATACTTTTTAGCAAGGTAACATTTAATAGATGGAATTGTTAAGGTAATTGCCTGTAGTCACATTGCTAAGTTCAATGAGAGTCACACAAAATCTGGAATATATTATTTGGATTCTGAAATTAGTAGGAGGGATTAGAAGTCATTCAGATAAAAATTTATACTTAACAAGAGTATTTAGGAGATTCAGCCTATCAAAATATTTAGCAGCTTTCCTTGTCAGAAAGTTTTACTTTCTATTTCACGGGTTGCTCATGACCTTTAATACATTTTTCTGAATGAACTCTGGAGGGAGGTGAGAAGTAGCAGTTCTGTTCATCTCCTCTTTTTGTCTTTCATCTTTCTGCCACTGTTCTCTCGCCTCATCCTAAAACCTGGTCAGGAGGGTTTGAAACCTATCAGAACTAAAGTTAATGTCCCATATCTCTCAGACATTTTTCATTTAAACAAACACAAAAACTATGGGTAAATTAGTGAAATACTTATTGTAGAATTCTTGTCGGCAAAAGGGAAGGGGACTACTACATCTAGGGGGAACATCATGTCTTTTAGGCCCTTTATGTCACTGAATGACTTAAGGCTGAACAAATGATATTCTTGGAAAGTTTAATCTTGAGGTTTTCAGATTTTTTTTTTTTTTTATGTCACCCATCTTTCCCATTTGCTGATTGATTCATTAGTTGTTCTTATCAGTAAGATTTGTCAATTTGGAGTAATGAAGGCTGAGACTCATTTCTAAACTCTTCCATAACCATCACCAGCAGAGCAGCCACTGCTTTGTGTGATGTGGGCTAATGCCTCCCAGATAGGGGTAAATAAAATTACAAGGACTACTAGAATTCTGGTTGATTGTGGAACTGGTTTTGGATTATCCTTACGTTTTCATTCTGACTACTGAGGCAGTTCTGAAAACTCATGCCATTGAAATAATGGTGTGTCTTTTTCTTGTTTAAGGATTTTACATCATTTTTATGCAGTTGAATTCCAAAATCAGAATCTCTTTTTTTACCTATCAACCTATATTGGCTGTTGGCTTTTGGCAGTGACCTTTCTGTTCAAATGTCCTATCTCCTTGTTTCTTTATTGAGTAGAACCTGTCCTTTTTTTTCATCTTTAGTTTTTTTCACATGTGTTTTCTAAGAGAAGGCTCTCTGCTGCCTGTTCTGGGTGATAAATTTTCATCTAATCAATATGGGGTTGGGATGATCATGGTGAAATACTAGGAAGACATATTCTGTTGAACTTTTTCTCTCCAGATAATCCCCAAATAGATTGTTTTCTAGTGGATGGTTTATATCTTTCTCATCACAAAAATGTTCCTTTGATTTCTAGCACAAGGTACAGCAGGATGCAAATGATTCTCAGATAAAATGATGTTGACAGTATTTCCTTAACAATTTATGTAAAACTATGCATAATTTTCATTCTAACTTTTGACATTTTTTTCTCCATAAATAAAAGTAATGCCTGATGTTTAGTTAAAGTAGATCCACCTTTGCTTGATTTTATTAGTCTTGTTCTATCCTATTTCTTTTTAATACACTGTTTACACTTGCCAACAACTCTTAACTGAGAATCTCTTTTCCTTCCTAGGCTAAGTAATTATGAGTAGGGGAGGAAGAAAATTAAGAGAAATAATTTAAAGACTTTGTTCAATGTTGCCGAAGCCTAAGGATATTTGTGTGTCCTTCTGATGTACCGAGTTTTGGATTACTTTAAGGTTATATAGTGGGACTTAAAACTACTGGGAAAGATTTTCGAGAAGGATCAACAAAACAGTATAGAAATCCAGGTGCGTTAGAGTACCAGAATCACAAGAGGACTACTCTGGCATACTCTAGTGACCTGAAAAAACTCTCTCCTAAAATGACAAGAAAGCTAGGGGACGATGGGGGAAAAAAAGGCAAGATTTATAATTTATTTTACTTTCACGATTTTTCCAAGTATCTTCAGAAGTAGAAACCTATAGCTTTTTTTTTAAAAGCTACATTAACTACATATGAGCTAAGAGAACGAGAAGGTGAAAAACATGGAGGATAAATTTCCTTTGTATTTATGAAATAGTCCCCTTTCTCAGGATATAAGACAGCAACTGTGAAGCTTCTGAAGCACCATAAGAACAGCTAGAAAGAATGCTTATTTTAGGGGATAGTGGACAAATGAGCCCTTGTTGCTAGAGAGACAATGATAAATAATTTATCTGAATCCTGTCAAAAAATACTATAATACCTGTGTTAGGTTCTCTCAGGAAATAGATGAATGGCCGATCTGCTTTAAAAATAGGAATCCGAGACCTTTTCAATAACAACAGAGCTACAGGAAAGAAAGAAAAGAAGAATCCCATTGAGTTTTCTGTTCATTTTTTAACAAATCAGTATTTCAATTGGCTATGAAGTAAGATACCCCATAATTTTTTAAGAAATCGAAGCATCCTAATGGCATTTCATTGTTTACTGTTGTGATGGGGGTGCAAATGGGAAAATTAAAGAGAAGAGATGCCACTTAGCCAATCTGTCTCCTGTTTTCAACACATTCCATGGAATAAATTCCTTATTGAAGGTAACTTTCAGAATGATTTTTATGAGGTAGATATCTCTTCTTCCCCATCCTTTTTCAAAAACGTTTTGCTTTCTTCAGTATTCCTTCTTTAAAACTGCTGTACCACATCTGAACCCTCAGGGGTTATGGAAAGATTCAGAAATGTGAAGATTCAACTAGGTAAATTTAAGAAAGGTAGATATGGGTGAGCAGTATGACTGGGTGTTCTCTGTATGAACATACCTGTGGCTCCAGATGCCTTGGTGCCTTCCTCCAAAACTTCAATCTTGGCCTTGTGGATCGCTTCAGAAACATAAAACCCATCTTGGCCTAACCCCAGAAAATGATAAAAATGTAAGTTGCTCATTAACATTTTTCTAACTTAGAACACATTCTTTTAAGATGTACTTGAAAATTTATAGTATCCAGTGCTGCTTACTGTGTAGCTAGGGAGAGAGTGGAAAATTCTTGTTTTTGTTTTTACTGGAGGCTCAGGTGGCCGTTTGGAAAATTCTTAAGGTTCAATATGTTACTGAACTTTCAAAACTTTAATAAATATATGTAATCACCCCCAAAATATTTAGAGCACTGCCCCAGTTTTTTCAGTAATTCATTTTCAAAAATGATTTCGAGTTAATACTGCAATCAGCCAGTATTTTCAAAACTTCAGTGATCATAAGAATCACTTGGGTATGTGTTAAAATGCCCGGGAATCATTTCCAGCAAGCTTCAGAGAGGCATTTCCCTTGAATGCCTTTTTGGACTGCATTTTAAGAGCTACTTTTAAGGGACAAAGTCACAGGTTTTTATTACAGGCTTTCTTGAGGCACAATTCAGAGTAATATGTATGTGTCTAGTGTTGCATGACTGCATTCTGTATACTTAGTATATCAGTTATGCAATTAATTGGCCTCATGGGCTAGAATCTACAAAGCAAATGAGAAGTTAGTATAAATTTTCTGTGTGCTAACAGTTTCACAGATTATAAGTTTAGCAAATAGGACGAAGTGATAATTTAGAGGAAACAACAGATTATTAACCATTTTTCAACAGCTCCAAAGATGAAAAGATACTTGATGACACAGTAAAAAATGAAAGATTTAGAATCAGAAGAAACTTAAGAAATCATTCAGTCCAATCCTTTCATTTTAGAGTGAGCTGTTAAGTCATCTGAGATCACGCACCTGAAAAGCAGAGTTGAGAATATTCTGATTGAAAGCCCACTCCCATCCCACCCCTCCACTCCACTCAAACACTCCCACCTTATAGAAAGTGTATGCTAGTCAACTTCAACATGCCACTGGGAGGTATCTGTGGCATGAATATTAAAATAATCAGTTTGATGTACACATTGTGTGAGGGAGCTTTGTTTCATCTTAGACTAATGCTTAAATTGGTTTGCGTTTGTCACAGATGTACAGGAGATGGCCCATGAATGCCATGAGAGAATAAAACCATCCCAAAATAAATATGTGGCATTCCATCCATCTTGTAAGTAAGGTGTGCACAGGATGTTGTGAATTGTCTATATTCACTGTAAGGAACAGTTATTTTCCAGCATCAGTGAAGGGGACAGGAAGGGCCAGCGGAAGTAAAAATCAATAGAAGCATTCACTAGTGTCACTTGTCCTAAAACCAGGAAAGAATTTGGTTTATTTTAGCAGTTGGTCATTTTCTGTAGGGTCTTTAAGAAAAGAAACAAATTTCTCTATTAATAATTAGCCCCGTTTACTAGCTAATTAAGCAAACAAATGCAGTGCCAAAGTTACAAAGAGAGCTTTATGGATAACAAACGCTTATTTGACAGTCATGAGAGGGTTTTACTAATCTCCGTGACTACATTACTGTATAGGATGGTGTCTGAACATTTTAAATGAATGTTGGTGAAATAAGCAGAGATGCACTACAAAACCCCTTATCAGCTAAAATAAGTAAATGTGTCTGCTTTAGTCTAGGCACCTTGGCTGTGTGAGAGTGGGACCAATTGATGTGGATGAATCTGATTAGATTTTCAGTCTATTTCAGTATTTTGAAAGTGCAACTGAAGAATTTCATTTAAATAGTTTCTCTCCATCAGACTATAGGAGTGGTCCAATAATTGACATTTATATGTTTGTACAACCATAAACCAAGGTCCATAGCCTGTCGTGCGCCAGAATCAGCATCTTTTTAAGTTTTATCTCTGGTAAGAGTTGACCTTTCAAAAGACCAACCTATGTGGTAAAAATGAGAATTTGGGAGTCATCTGTGGGTTTGCATTTTTTTCCTCCTGCTTGATCTTGTGTTACCAATTCCTATTATTTTTTATTGAATAGCTATTGAAATATTATGCAACTAATGAAATCAACCTAGAAGAAGTCAAGCACAAAGGGTTTCTCCTGGTCTTCTTCTACTCCCCTGAAGTGTTGATAGCTGTTTAGTGCCATTAAGGGGCATACACCCTATTTTTTCAAAAGTTGTTCTCAAGATTGTTTATAGGTGGCATTCTGTAAAAGGGTTCTATGATTAATTATATATGGGAGATGCTAAACAGTTTTGCACTCTTGTTTTCAATAGGGGACTTCTTAGAGCTGCTAATCTGCTAACTTTTACAATGAATCTCTACAGGATAATTATAATACGTAGCATTTAACCACAGAACCACCCACACCATTCTCTGTCCCAGATTTACAAGATTAGCATTTGGGGAACGTACTTTGGGAAACTATAGCCCACCATAAACCCACTTGCTCCTACAATATATTCTATATACAAAGCAAAGCGGTGATGCTCTTCCTACCCTCCCTTCTGGCATACTCTCCACTCTTCTTCCATAACCTCTTCCATAGGTGTTTACCTTCCTTTTTTAGACTATTAGCTCCTAGAAGGCGTAAATGATGTCTTATTCGTTTTAAATATTTCTTTGCCCAACTTAACATTAAGAATACTTGGTACGTGGCCGGGCACGGTGGCTCATGCCTGTAATCGCAGCACTTTGGGAGGCCGAGGCGGGCGGATCACAAGGTCAAGAGATCGAGACCATCCTGGTCAACATGGTGAAACCCCATCTCTACTAAAAATACGAAAATTAGCTGGGCATGGTGGCACGTGCCTGTAATCCCAGCTACTCAGGAGGCTGAGGCAGGAGAATTGCCTGAACCCAGGAGGTGGAGGTTGCGGTGAGCCGAGATCGTGCCATTGCACTCCAGCCTGGGTAGCAAGAGCGAAACTCCGTCTCAAAAAAAAAAAAAAGAATACTTGGTACGTAAATGTGTTTAGTAAATGCTGGATGAATTAATAACAGACACCCCTCACCACTATATAAATGGCCTTAATATTCTTTAACCTTGTTAAATTTGTAAGGCAATGCTGACTGGTGTTGGTAGAACCTTTTAAAGACAAGTCATAGAGTGGGTCTTCTCCAAGTCTCAGTGGAAGGATTGTTTCAGTGCTTTATTGGTGGACACCATTATTTTTTTGTGCGTGGCTAGTCATATTCAAAAGGTTTAAAAGTCTTCATACCATGATATTATATAAACATTGTGTCCCTACATTTCATCCTCAGCTTCTCATAAATTAGGATAAACCCAGCATTTGCTGTTTCTTTTGGCTTTACAATTATTATTATTTTCTGTAGGCAGAGTTAGTGGTTTTTAAAACGTTATTGCCAGAACTTGCTTCTAGTTTATCTTTTTCACCTTGTCATTTAGTTGCTAAAACTAAGTGTTGGTACAGTTTTTGGGGAGAGGGGAGAGAGAGACATAGCACCCAGCCCAGGATAGAGAGAGAGAGTGCTAAGAAGAATCCGAGATGGCCTTTGAAATTAGGCTGTGATTAGTTGCTTTCTCCATTCGTCTCTTCTAGTCCACTTTGTACCTCTTTCTACTACAATTCTGACCAGACATCTGGTGTGGCATAAGTTAACTTACATAACTTCCATACTCAACCAAAGAACTCTGGTTCATTTAAGTCATAGTAACAGAGAGCTTGTACTTCTTACTGAGCAGAGATTGGAAACTACCCACTTATAAAAGCCAAGAACAAGAAAGTTTCTTCAGAGTTTCAAGTCTGTGCACAAGGAATGTTTTGTGGACTAGGAGGCATGGGTCTATATCAAAGTCTGCTGATCCTAAAGCCAGTGGGATTGCTTAAGAAGAGTATCTGTAGCTGGCATCTTCAGTGTGAGTGAAATTTACTCTTAAAAGCTGCATAACATCTAGTATCAAGGAGACTGGGGGGAAATTACACTCTGGTTTCAGTTGGGCCTTGAAATAATATTCAATGAGTCATTCAGGAAAAAAAAAGATTTGATCCCAAGAAGGAAGAAAGGAGTGACTTGTAAATGGGGAAAGAGAACTTGAGTAAAATGATTCTTGGCTTTGGGACCAAAAGGCCAAATGTGTGCTGTGGTTGTTGGACTTCATCAATAGTACAAAACTGCTTGGTAAGCTCTTGTAAACTGGAAGAAGAGAGGAGAGGCCAGCATTTTCTGATCGCTTACTCTTTAGCAGGGTCTCTGCTGTTGCCACAATATATGTAAATGATTTTGTTTCTACAATTAAGATGTGTGGTGGGTGGTAGCTACCCCCATTGTAGGAATGAGGAAACTATTTCTTGGAGAGATTTGGTGGCCCTGTCTCTAGAATAAAGTTGAAAGCCCATTTGGGCAGAGAAGTGGTTAGTCTCTTGATTATGTTTAAAGAAGGACATTAAGAAACAATACTTTGGTTGGCAATCTTTTCCTATAAAGGGCTCAATATTAAATATTTTAGTAACTGCATGCCATATGGTGTCTGTCTCAACATTCAATTTTGCGGTTGTAGCAGGAAAGCAGCCTGCTACATAGATGATTTATGGATGAATGAGAGTGACTATGTTTTAATTAAACTTTAGAAAAGCACGTAGTAGGCCATTATTTGCTGACCCCTGCTTTAGACGAACAAAACTTCATGAGAGAAGATTATCAGGCTGGCAAGTTTTGTCAGTAGGAAACATGAATGCAAGCTTCACACTTGGCACATGATAACTGCTTGATCATTATTAAATAAGCCAGATCTGCCTGCCTATGCCTACCTGTCTGCTGGTTTGAACAAATATACGTAGATTTGAATTGCTTTTTTTTAAAAAAATAGAGGTTTGGTATATATAAAAGGTACTTTTAACACTAGGTTACTGAAAAGATCTTGCCAGAGGAGTTTATGGACCTTGGAAGTCTTTACCAATAAGGGAGCTACCTTGGAAGTCTTTATCAATAGGGAAGCTACATGATGTGTGTTAAGATCAGTCCTGTTTGAGGACACAGGGTTGATGGCACTTTAGGATGTACTTTTAGGACCCAAAAGGAGAGAGCTTTAAGAGTTATGAAGGAAGAGTCAGTAAACCCTAGTGACTAATTGAATATAGTAGTGTGGAAGAAAAGGTCAAGAATGGCATTAAAGTTTTGAACTCTAATAATCAAAAGAATAGAATCACCATCAACAACAGGGATGCCATGGCTGAGCTCTAGAGTTGCAAGAAGACACATTAGATTTTACATGTTATCAAACATAGAATGCTGTTAAGTTCTTCATCCCTTGCTCTTTCCTTGCCCTCTGATCTTTTCACTTCAGTATTCTTCCTTTCCCTGAAATGTCAGATATGCCTGTGTCCGTAAGGAAAGTTTCTGTTTGAGTCATTTGACCAAGTCAACAATATTTACTTGGTATCCAACCGTGTGCCAAGCATCGTTGTGGACACTGTGCCCAAACTTGACCACTGCTTTGCATATGTCATTGCGTGTTTAGGCAATCAGTACACAGCTATTTGATTTTAAACTCTCTAGAATAGGTTCTCATTACTGTGTTTTATTTGATAAATAACTGTCAATCTGTCTGGTCACATCTAAAGCCCAAACCAAGACTTCTCTTGTGGATCGAAATCTCAATTTTTCTGTGATTGCTTAAAAAGGAAGATTCTGAGCCAAGCTTTAGAAAAATTCACATTAGAATTCTAGAATTCATAGTTCTAGAATTCAAAATACTGATTTTCAAGCTCTTCAGGTAAGGGAAATGTCAAGGCCAATGGAAATACCAGCTACAGTATCATCTTTGCACAAATAATTTACTTTCCAGAGTAGAAACAAACCTGAGCCTTTGAGTTGACAATAGTTTAGCCAATGGCGTCTTGAGATGATCGTAGAGCATAGGTTCTGGCATTCACTCCCTGCTTATCTTTGATATACATTCCCTATCATATCACAAACAGACAGTACCTATTGATTGGTAGTAGCAATTCAACTATGTGCAAAGAAATTCGATAGGGATGCTGGAAAGGAGAACATTTTAAGGCAAGGTTATAAAAGCATGGGTAATTTGAAGAAAGAAAATTGGACAGATGAGAGAAGGTTTCAAGACTAGCTTATTAGAAGAGGACAGAGGAGGTATAGGAGGAGGGAGCAAAAGGGTGTAGAAACAAAAGGTGACTGTGAAGCTGGCGGGATAGCAGGAGGTCATAATGAAGAATCTATTGCTGCACTAATGCCTTGGGTACACACCTAGTCATGACGGGTAAAGGGAGAGTCAGTTTACTGTGTACTATGGACATTGACCCCATGGTGAAGGTGGTCTCTGAAAACCAAAACCATGATTAAGTTCTGAAGAAACATCCCTTCTTCATAAGGTCTTACCCAAATTTGACTGTTATCAAAAGCAACACATTCTTACATAAAACAGAGCACCTTCCATATTCTTTTACATAATGTTGACTCTGATTGTCTACCACTGAAGGCTCTGTGGCAATGATAATCTCTTAATCAAAGTATGATAAAACTGCCCCAAACACAAGACTAGAAAGTTTGGAATAATTGTTGTTACCTGAAATTCCTTTCAAGTTAGCTTTGAGTGGATCAAAAAGATCGGTGACTCCCCAAGAATTTAAAATGCTTTTTAAGTTGAATTGGTTTTGGATTCTAAACCTAAAAAGCAAAAACAAACCATCAACTTTCAAAATTCTCACTCGATGTACTTTCATACACACCACATGAAGTCCAAAGTTCCTAACTTGTAAGTCAGGCTCACTCCACCAGATTTATTTCCAGCTTCATCTTTCATGCACCTTGCCATAGCCCTAATCTGACCACACAGGACTCTTCCCCACCTCTGTACCCTTGTTCTTACTGTTCATTCCAAGTCTTCCCATTTCCTTTGATTTTCTTAGTTACTATCCATTTTTCAGTTGTTACCTCCTCCTCTTTTCTTCAGCTATTTTGTGACCTTTGGTTCTTAAAGCCCCATTAACACCTTGTTCTGCTCTTACGATATACAGAACATTTTGCTTCCTATTAGCATCATTTATGATATTGTAAACTACCTGAGAAGAGTGGCTATCCCAATTTATTTTTTAAACACTTTTTTTTTTGAGATGGGGTCTCCCTATGTTGCCCAGGCTGGACTCAAACTCCTGGCCTCAAGTGATCCACCCACCTCAGCTTCCCAAATAGCTGGGACTACAGATGTGCCCCACTGTGCTGGGCTCCAATTCATTTTTATTTCTTAATAAGAATTAATATTTAATGAGTGCTTACATTATGCTAGACACTAAGATAAGAACTTTATGTGCATTACCTTATTTCACCTTTATATAACTATGTTATTATCCTCATTTTGCAGATGGGAAAATCAAGACTTAAAGAGTTTAAGAAACTTGCCCAAGATGACATAATGAGTATGTGATGGACCTCGATTCAAATCAAGCCTGTGTGTGCAGAGCCCATGCTCTAATCACCTACATTTGCTGCCTCCCATCTCGTGTGGCATCTCACATATAGTAGGTGCAGAAAAGAGGCTATTGACTAATTGCATAGTTGACAATTAATAGAATATTTTATTTAAGAGTATTTATACTAGATAAAATATATTTTTGTATTTGCTGTGTGCAGTTTATGCCTTTGGAGCACAGTGGGAAAAGAATGCAACTTAAAGCCTTGGTTTTCCTAGTAAGCCTTTTGAGCACAAAGAATCAGCATACCAATTTTATATTTCCCCAGGGACAAGGCATATAAAAATTGACTGTTGAAGGATCCTTTAAAAGGGCTGCTGATATTATTTTTCTTTGAAAATAAAAAGATCAAAATGGAAGTTAGATGGTATTTTTCTAAAAATAATACAGAACTTGCAGGAGAGTAAAAATATTGAACAAGACCATTTAATATCAAAGGTCTTCATTGCTATACAAGAGGATGTGACTCATACTTTAAACAAAAGTATCATACTTTCCCATAAAGGTGTATTTTGAGTCTTCAGAATCGTTTCCAAAAAAGAAATATATTTTCTCTAAGTATGCTGACATTTCTCCAAAAAATTTTTGGAACATTCCTTATAAAATTTTCTTAAGCACTGAAAACACATCCTTTTTCAAACCTCTAAATGCTGAAACAGTCATTATAAGCAAGGACTTGGGAATCCATTGCTGTGGGTTTGAATCCTGGGAACTAGCTACTTTGCCTCAGGGGGAAGTTACTTTACTTCTCTTTGTCTCAGTGTCCTCATTTGTGAAATGAGCATAATTGTAATACGTGTTTGTAGGGTTGTAAAGATTAAATGAATAAATCCTTGTCAAGTGCTCAGAACAATCCCCAGCACAGCCTATACACTTACTGTTACCATTGTGATTTTTTGTTATTTTTCAATTATATTGAGAAACAGTTAATTAAGGGCTGTTTGAAACCAAATATGATGATTATGGTGGGTGATAAAACTGGATAGTATCGTTTTTAGTAATGAAAACAGCAATAAAAATGAGGTATGACTATAAAAGATTAGAATGAGTATGTGGCTTGTGATTAGAGTGATTAGAGTCTTGTATGGCTATGAAGGCACATCCAGGAGAAATACTACAAACATAACTTGAGTAAAAAAATACCCTTTACTGATATCAGACAAGGATATTACAAGAAAGACAAATTACAGACCAATATACCTTATGAATATAGATGCAAAATCTTCAACAAAATACTAGCAAATTGAATCCAACACCATATAACTCTCACCATGACCAAGTGGATTTATCCCAAGAATGCAAAGTGGGTTTGATATATAAAAACCAATTAATTTAATATACCATATTAATAGAATAAAGGACAAAGCCCACATTACCATCTCAATAGATGCAGAAAAAGTATTTGACAAAATCCAACACCCTTTCATGATTAAAAACAAACAAACATCAAACATACAACAAACTTTGGCTAGAAGGTTACTTCCTTAATTTGATGAAGGACATCTACAAAAACTCCATAGCTAGTACAATACTTTACAGTAAAAGACTGAAAAATTTTCCCCTAAGTTCAGGAACAAGACAAGAATGTCCACTCTGACTCCTTCTATTTCACATGGTACAGGAGGGTGAGTAGGATAATTACATGAGAAAAAGAAATAGAAGGCATCCAGGTTAGAAAGAAAGAAGTAAATCTATCTCTGTTCACAGATGACTTGGACGTGTACGTAGAAACCCCTAAAGAACACACACACACACACACACACACACACACACACACACAGAGGCACACAGGAAAAAAGAAAAAAAACTTATTAGAGCTAATAAATGAGTTCACTAAGGTGCAGCATACAAGATCAAGACACAAAAATCAATTGTTTCTACAAACTATAGAACAATCTGAAACTGAAATTGCTAATGTAAATTTCATTTACAATAGCATTAAAAGGAATAAAATACTTTGAATAAATTTAAAAGAAGAAGTGCAAGACTTATATACTAAAAACTACAAAACATTGTTGAAAGAAAAAAAGACCTAAATAAAAGGAAAGATATTCTGAGTTCATAGCTCAGAACACTTAATACTGTTAGAAAGTAATAATTCCCAAATTGATCTACAGATTCAACACCATCCCTATCTAAATCCCTCCTGCTTTTTTGTCAAAAATTGACAAGCTAATCCTAAAATTTATATAAAAATGCAAGGGGCACAGAATAGCTAAAACAATCTTGAAAAAGAAGAATAAAATTGAAAGACACACTCCTGATTTCTAAAGTCACTACAAAGCTACAGTAATGAAGACTTTTTTAAAAAAGAAACACCCCTAGAAAAGCATAAACCACACACCACGATAATCAGCCACTCCTTGGAGGAAGGGCAAAACTCATTTTGGATACGTGGAATCTGGTGGATTTTAAGATCTATGTTATATCTAACCTCAAAAAATGCTCAGCTTTCTGAGTTGGCCTAATAATCAAATGTTTTATTCATCACATACCTATTTGACATTATTAGTCTTTCTTGTGGGACAGTACATGATTGTGATGATAAATAATCCATAACACATGCTTGGTTTTCTCGATTATTTCTTTAGTATGCTAAGCATCCCTCATGAAAATTAACAGTCCCTATGTACTTTTTAATTTATTTATAAATAAAGGGTTACTTTGGAAGCTAGAGACATAATTCATCCAGAATCTACTAGTGCACTGGTTAAGGGTGATGTTTAACCTGAAAGCACATCTCATAGTCACACAATTTTACATTGCTATCCACACGGTGCAAAATTTTTTGCTCTTGTGAAATGAAAAATGCCTGCTGACTGTAGATCAGGTCATACTAAAAGAAAAAATAAGTGATTTGAGAGAATGAGAGGTAAATTTCTGCCTAAAAGGTGACTTTGTGTATACCATGATCCAAAGTTTATGCTTAAATCTAGACCTAAGATAATTTTTACTTTTTCTGTTTTGTTCCCTAGAGGATTTAAAGCTTAAAAAAAAAAAAAAAAAGGGCTAGGCACTTTGGGAGTCTGAGGCAAGCAGTGAGCAGATCATCTGAGGTCGGGAGTTCAAGACCAGCTTGACCAACATGGAGAAACCCCCATCTCTACTAAAAATACAAAATTAGCTGGGTGTGGTAGTGCATGCCTGTAATCCCAGCTACTCGGGAGATTGAGGCAGGAGAATTGTTTGAACCCGGGAGGCGGAGGTTACGGTGAGCTGAGATCGTGCCATCACATTCCAGCCTAGGCAACAAGAGCAAAACTCCTTCTAAAACAAAAAAACAAAAACAAAAACAAAACCTTGAAAAATAAAAAGCAAAACAACAACAACAAAAAAACTTGGTTAGGTTTACTTGTGAAATAACCTCATTTTCCCAAAAACCTCTATCCTTCTTGGATAGCAGACTTGGTAGTCTTAAGGAGATTTTTTAAAATTATCAGAATGTGGTTAAGAGCTAATAGTAGTCTTAAGGAGATTTTTAAAAATTATCAGAATGTGGTTAAGAGCTAATAGTTGTGTTACTAATATTTCTGCCTTGCCTTTCCTTCCCTGCCCTCCAGCGTTTTTCAGGATCACTGCTTAAGGGCTTGAGACTTATAAAAGCAGAATCAGGATGATGGAGAGTTCTCATTGGAGCTGGGCATTTCCCTGGGGTCTCTTCCAGGGAAGAGCTGCTCAAGGATGAGGCCCACCATCTGTCTCTTAAACCCAAAAAGACTATGGCAAATTCCCACATCAGCCTGCATTTTTCTCTCTACTTTTGACATGGAACGCTCTTCCTTCCCTTGCCGAGTTTCTCTCAAATATAATAGGAAGACTAGGGTTGCTTCTGCTCCCTCCCTGAGAGATCTGTTGAAATAACCAGTCTCTGTGCTGTGGCTTGGGGTCCAAATATTTAGTTTTGAGAGATACACTTTACCTTAGAGTTAAGTGCACCTTCTGCCCTGGGCTATGCCAGACCTGACTTTAGACCTTGGCCTGTAACTTGCTGGGTCTCTCTTTGTATGTTTTCCTTCCAGTGCATAGATTTATTTTTAACTCCTCGAGGGAGCACTGCCAAGGATTTTGTCTTTGCCTACTGGGAGCCCAGGCAGTGGAGGGAGGCCAAGGTGGTTAGTGGGCAGTAGCATGGAGAATTCACATGTGGAAGATGAGCTACTGGACAACATTCCTTGCTTAATGCTGGTCAAAAATTGATTATAAATTTACTCTATTTTCAAATATATCACAGAAGCTTGTTATGTAAAGAAGCCCTAAGAGGAATCTTTTTATAAAGTTATGAGTTTTGCTAATAGATTTTGTTTTGAAAAACCAAAACAGAATGCCACCACTTCACTTCTTGGAGACTTGTATTTGTACCTATTGGGTCTTCTTAAAGGAGAGTTCACCTCCTTTTAGAAAGAATGAGAACCTTCTGCATAGAGACTTAAAGTGTCAAATTTTTATGCCTTAATTTGGCTTCTGATCAGAATCTTATCTGTACTTGTTCAGTTACTTAAGTCATCTTACCTCTTTGGTTTTGGGAAAATGACAGTTGTATACTCTTAGGATGGGATAAGATTTGGAATATGTTCCTATAAGGGAACCACAGAGCATTTCCTCTTCAAAAACTAGTTGTGGCCTAAGACAGGATCAGGGGACCTGGGGGCCTCCAGTCCAGCTCAGTGAAGGCAGAACATCTTGTTTTGGGAAGACTCTGGGAAGTTTGTTCATTTCAGTCTGTGCTGTGAGCTGGCCAGCGGAGACTCTGAAATGGTCTCAGACTCTAGGGTCACTTCCTCTTGGCCTAACCTCTCAGGGTACACATTAAACAAGTCATCCCAGTGGCTAAGCACAGACCCTAGAGGCAGACCACCTGGATGCAAATCCAGACTCTTCTGACTGCTGGCTACACAGCACCCATAAGGGGGACGCAGCTGCTCACCTGGGCAGGAACACATCCATCCTGGCTCTCCTCAGGCTGGTGGTCCAGAGGTGGATGGTGCTGGCAGTGAGGTGTGGCTCAATGTGGCTCAGGGGGATGTCTTTGTCACGGGGCAGCACCAGGAACAGACTCATTGCACGTGCCAGGTAAGGCAGCTCCAGCAGCCCCACCTGATGGCCTGCAGTGTCCTGGAACTGACCTGAGGGTGCAGTGGATCAGAGGTCAGCTCTGTCCCACGAGCCAGGAGAATCAACCAGTGCCAGACCCTGAGAGAGGCTGGCTCAGAGGACTGGAAACAATAAAACAAAGCATCTACCTTACCCTCAGGAGGCAGTTTAGGGCCAAAGACTGTTGGGTGATATGGCCATTTTATAAAAATCCTGGACCTAGAGTCTTTAAGATACCCTTTAAGATACCCTGACAGAGTCAGAGGCTCTATAGAGCTGGGTATGAGGGCCACAACGGCACGTTCAGAACCACATAGAGTAGTGCCCCCTTGTCCTTGGCAGATATGCTCCAAGAACCCCAGTAGATACCTGAACCTGTGGATGGTAATGAGCCCTGCATAGACTATGTTTTCTTGATCCAATAACTGAGATGGCTACTAAGTGACTAACATGGGGGTACTGTAGACAACCTGGAGATGCTGGACAAAGGGATGATTTATGTCTCAGGTGGAACAGAGCAGGACGGCAGGAGATTTCATCACACTATTCAGAAGGCGTGCAATTTAAAACTTGAGAATTATTTGTGAAATTTTCCATTTAATATCTTCTGATGCAGATAACTGAAACCTCAAAAAGCAAAATCATGGATAAGGGTACAGGGTACTACTGTACCTGGTCTTAAAGGAGCAGCCAATTCAACCCAGGCCTATTGTGCCTGCCAAGGGTGGCAGTTTGGTCCAAACTCTACTAGTGAGGGAGGAAGTGTCAAGCATGAAACTGGGTTTCTCTTCCACATCTGTGTCCTCACTGTCCTGTCAGAGCACTGTCCAATGCTCCTCTCTAAAGTCTCCTGGCACCCTAGTCTTTTCTTCTGCCACATGCCCAGTCCAGCAGACGGACCCTGCAGAAACACAGCCTGATCCCTTAGGAGCAGGGACCTGGCTTCCTCTATCCTGCTCTCAGGCTTCCTCTCCCTTTAGGCAAGTCAGCAGGGGCGGGGCTCACCATAGTTGACTTCGGCCATTTGGTGCATCATGGGCACCTGAAGGACAAGGCCGTGGGTACAGGTGAAAGGCAGGATCTGCGTGTCTGTGGAAGAGAATCGCTTCCGCCAAGTGCCTTGGAAAGACATGGTGCTCACAAGCACCAGCTGAGCAAATGCTGCACCGACTTGCTCCCATGGCCAGCCACCAGGGCCCTCGCTGGGGTCTTCACCTGCAACCAGGGAAGCAAGGGGACTGTGGGTTAAATGTGCATTGAAACTGAACCAAACCCAGTGTGTGTGTGCACAAGGAGCACAGAGTTAAAATGCAAAAAATAAGGTCTGTTTTCTTTTTTTTTTTTTTTTTGAGACGGAGTTTCACTCTTGTTACCCAGGCTGGAGTGCAATGGCACGATCTCGGCTCACCGCAATCTCTGCCTCCTGGGTTGAAGCAATTCTCCTGCCTCAGCCTCCTGAGTAGCTGGGACTACAGACACACGCCACCATGCCCAGCTAATTTTTGTATTTTTAGTAGGGACGGGGTTTCACCTTGTTGACCAGGATGGTCTCGATCTGTTGACCTCGTGATCCACCCGCCTCGGCCTCCCAAAGTACTGGGATTATAGGCGTGAGCCACCTTGGCCGGCCTTAAGGGCTATTTTCATAACATGGTCTCTCTCTCCATCTTACAATATCTTTTCAATTTACTTAAGAATATTTAACTCCCTGTCTCAGCTCCTTGTGCTGCCAGGGACCCAAGGCACCAGCAGCTGCTCTCAACTCCCTGCTGGGGGGTGAGAGTTTGGAGAGGGAAATGGAAAGTGAGAACTCAGAAGTCCTGACACCTGCGTGACCACTCAGGGAGGTGGGGGCAGTGAGGCATCTCTGGAGTTGGGTTTGTAGAGGATTCATTAAAATCTATTAATTGCAAATTGACATGTGTATATCCAGCTGTTGCTGAAGACCCTGATTTTTATTCTTTCTGAACAGATTGGGATGCTGCTCCTGGCTAATCTTGGGGCCATTTCCTAGGAATTATTAGACATTCTCTCCCAGGTCAGACCCTTGGAAGGAGTGTGTGCTACATGGGAGATGCTGCCCAATGTCACCCCTGGTCCCCACCATGCCCTGCTGCTGAGCTCAATCTCTCACTGATCCTTTGCTTAGAGGACAATATTCAAGGTATCATCTTTGGAGGGTTGCAGTTAAAATTTCATGCAGTGCCAGAAAGAGGAGCAGGCAGACCACCTTGAAGGGATAGTTTTGTCCCAGCTGTTTATTTGTTTAATAAACACATACCTTGTGCTAGGCTCTGTTCTAAGTGCTTTAGCAAATCCTCACCAACTCCTACTAACAGTTCTATTGTTATTCCCCATTTCACAGATGAGGGAACTGAGGCTCAGAAAAGTTGGGCAAGGTCACATACTCAGGAGGGGTGAAGCCACCATCCATTTAGCCATCAATGCAATCCACATTGCATTGAAATAGAACCTCAGCAACTCCACAGAAAGCTTGGATTTGAACCCAAGCGGCCTGGCTCTGTGCTCTGTGCTCTGAGCAACTGCGCTAGCTGCCCCTTTTTCTTAAAGACAATCAGGTTTTATTGGGAGGTGCTTCTCTGGCCTTACGACCTGGCAGCACAAGGAGCTGAGCAGGGAATTAAACACATTTAAGTAAATTGAAAAGACATGGTAAAATATGAGAGCGGAAGAGAGAACCTTATCACGAAAGATGTTAATTTTGGCATGTAATTCTGCCATCCCTGTCCACACACTCTTGTTTTCCATTCAGTATATATCACTTCCTATTCTGCTTTTGTTTGTTTGTTTTTTGAGACGGAGTTTCGCTCTTGTTTACCTGGAGTGCAATGGTGCGATCTCGGCTCACTGCAACCTCCGCCTCCTGGGTTCAGGCAATTCTCCTGCCTCAGCCTCCTAAGTAACTGGGATTACAGGCACGTACCACCGTGCCCAGCTAATTTTTTGTAATTTTTTTAGTAGAGACGGGGTTTCACCATGTTGACCAGGATGGTCTCGATCTCTTGACCTTGTGATCCACCCGCCTTGGCCTCCCAAAGTGCTGGGATTACAGGCGTGAGCCACCGCGCCCGGCCCCCTATTCTGCTTTTTGACTGACACTGGTTCTTGAATGCTCTCCACATTGCTGTGAAACTTTTGAAATGATTAAGGATGCTGGAGCCAGAGTACCTGGGTTAGAATCCTGGCATGTGGACCCTGGGCAGGAGACTGAGCCTTCTATGCCTCAGTTTCTCCATTTATAGAATGGGGAGAGTAATAGTGCCTACCCCTTAGGATTATTGTGAGGGTGAACTGAGATAGTCAACTTGGAGCAGTGCTAACTAAATAAACAGTAAGTGTTCATGATTTTAATTCTCTTTAATCATAATTACAACTGCATAGCATGCAGGTGCTGTGCTATACTGATTTACCTCTCATTACGGGGCAGAGTGGCTGTTTGTAAGTCTTCAGTTACACTGAGCTAAACATTTTATTGTGTGTAACTTTTTCTTAAATTATTTCCTTAACCTAAATTCCCAGGATACCACTTTTTTGGGCTCCTGTTGCATGTTGCTGTTACAGGTGGTTTATTATAGATGACAGCAGAGCTCGGTGGGAGGACAGTTGCATGGGACAAAGCCTGCAGGGTCCTGGGAGGTAGGAGGTTCTGAAGAGCACACTTCTGTGTTCTTGTGTGCTCTCATGGCTTGTGTGTGTGTGTGCCCATGTGTATATTTTTGTGAGGGAGGGTCAGAGCAGGAAGAGAGGCAGAAAGGGACTCAGTGTCCCCCTGTCATTCAAGGATAGGGTCTCCCAAGAGGACAAATTTCTGCTGTAATTGAATGTGGCCTGAGCACCATGTCTCCGACAAGTGATGGGTGAGACTCTGTCTCTTCAGCCCTCTGGCTTAGCCTTGTTGAGCTGGACAGTTTTTTTTACCTGCAGTCTGTCCGGAGGTCCCTTCGCTTGCCTGGATGGTGGTGCTGTTGGGCTCACTGAGGTCGACTGGCTCCAGGCTGCTGTTGGCCCACCAGGAGACCTGCTCCACAAAACAGGGGGACAGTGGCGTTCCCATTTGCACAAAAAGGCTGCAGGCCAGCTCCATCTCACCACCTTGCCTGAAGGTGGATAGTGTGGCATAAACAGCATGCAAGAAATCTTTCACCCTTTGGTCTGTGAAAACCAAATTGGATAAGTTGACAATGGTGAGTGTGAGTAAGGAGTTAGCACAACCTCCAGTGAACACTGCATTGAGATGGAACCCCAGCAACTCCACTCTTGCTCATAAGGTTCATCTACTATACATAGCCAGTTTGAAAAAGTCATAGCAAATGTGCTCAGGAATCTGCCTGGATCCACCAGGTAAAAGTTGGGAAGAAACCATGCTAGATCTGAAAGAAATCAGGCAACACTACCAACATCCTGTAGATGAACAGAGGTTATTCGTCCTTAATTTCCTGATTGAGGAAGGTTGATGTGTGTTGGGGTAGAGATTCTAGCTAGGGCTGGGAAAACAGCAGGTCCATCCAATGTGCAATGTGGCGGGATTTCAAACACAACATGGAGAGATTAATGTGCAATGTCACAGTGACAATGATGGGCGGTGGCCAGGATGTTGTGCTGTCAGTATGTCTTGTGCGGAGCTTTAAATACATTCCCACAACTGCTTGTCATGAGCCTGAGTAACATTTGGATTCAGCCTTGTGTAGAACTATGCTTTCAATCTGAGAAATACAGAGGAAAGGTAAGAACTCCTCCCATCCCCGCTCTCCCTAAGACCCAGCAGACAGCTTGTGTTATTAATATCAGTGAGAGGCTGCAAGAATGTCAAGGAAATAATAAGCATGTGAGAGAGTCGATAGCTTCTACCTTCATGGATGGCAGCTGGACTTCTATTTATTTACTGTTTATACAGGAGATAGCTTCCTTCTCTCCATAATCAATAGTGGATTTTGTGTTCATATTATTGTTCACAAGCTGCAGCTCTGTCCTCCCCGAGGCATCCCATAGCTGGAATGAGGGCTCTCGTCCGCTGGTGAGTCCAGACACAGTTGCGTACCCCAAGCTTCCCATTCCCAACACTTGCAAGCTGGGTGTTTCCAGAAGTTAAATCCCCTTGTTCAGGCTATTCTACTCCCCTTTAGGCACAGCCCTGCAGTTATCCACAAACCCTCCCTGTAAGACAAAATGTTGGGTATCTTTTCCTGCACTACCTGGCTCTAGCTGGTTGTCACTGGGATGAAACTCTCACTCACTTGGGGTCTGTCCACTCTGACACCCTTCATGTTACAGAAGCCAAGCCAGGAGGCAGCAGACCCCCGAGTTTCCTGGAGAATGTTCTCTAGAGGCACAGGAACCCAGAGTCCACCCTGGCCAGGGCCCCCAGCCACAATGCTGCAGAGGACAATAGCAGGCAGATGTCACTTGTCCACAAAATGTTCACTATCAAAGCTGTTTCCAAGAATCCATAATTGCAAAAGACTGACTCAGAATCTTGATCTCATGAATCAGCCTAACTTAAGTGCTTGCTTTTGACTGTAGTAAGAAAAAAATGGATAAAAAACATACTTATAATTAGATTTCACTCTATTGAGGAAGGTCATATGTATTTATCAGTTCACATTCCTAGGAATGCTGGCTGTCTGCAGAGGAGAAGTGAAACACTTCCCTGGTCCACAATGTGGGGTGACCAGAAGAATGGTCATAGAGCTCTCCTCTCCATCTTCTGACCCTCTCTGGGCCAGGGACCAGCCTTCTTTTAGCCAGAAACATTAAAATAGCAGAGTAAACTGGCTTTAAGTGAATTTTTGTGTGAAATCTTGTGTCTGCCATAGCCTATTTTGTCCATGCACATTTGCACACAGGAAGAACATTTTTAGACCCACCAGAACATGCAATGATAGAGTAAAAAATGGCGGAGGTTGACTGTTCGTAGACATTGTGCTGAACATGCCGCACTCCTGATCACACTGAATGCTTTCGACAGGCCTGTGAATTGAGGGCTGTTGTCCCCATTTTACAGGTGAGCGAGCAGAGGCCCAGACAGATTAATAAAGGTGCTCAGTGTCACCCAGGTGTAGGTGGTGGGGCTTTACTGCCCTGCCCACCCACAGGGTGAGGAGTGTCCTGGGATGACCCTGCCTAGGACAGCTTCCTTCCACTTGGAATGAACATGGAGCCAAGGAGCTCACAGCTTTTTTCTTTCTGTCTTTGCTGAATTCCTAGATCCTAGTATAAGAAGAAAAAAGTTGTGTGTATGAGTGTCTGTTTTAGATGGAGCTGGGATATTGGTTCTGAGGCCAGGCACTGAGCTGAGGCACTGAGCTGAGGTGCTGAGCGTAGGCGGGGGGAAGCTGACCTGGCATTCGAAAGACTCATGCTGCTGCCCGCAGAGCTGTTCTAAAATACATAATCCATAGAAATCAGCTGGCAGATCTGGCACTGGCTAGAAGTCACAGATTTATAAAAGCAGGTTGGTCAAAAGCATGGGCTCTGAAGCCAGACAGCCTGGGCTTGAGTCCCAACTGCCACTTATTGGCTCTGTGACCTTGAGCAAGTTGCTTCAATTCTCTATGCCTATTTGCTCATCTCTAAAATTGGGATGATAGTAAAGTTATTAGCCTCAACAGGGTGATTGTGACAATTAATGTTTGTAAGTGCCTCCAGCACTGCCTGGCACCTAGGAATGCACTATGTAAAGGTGTGTCAAATGAAACTGAAACATTGCCACAAAACCTGTCAGGTTAGAAGGGAACCTTAAAATGCAAGGGACATCACATCCCAAAGTCTGAATGCCTTCTGTCACAAACCTGTCCAGTGGACACTCTTCCCCATGTGCACACCACAGGGAACTGAGCTCCCTACCTCCCAGGTAGCCTAAGCAGGAGGGTGAGCTGGAGGGAGTGAGTGTGAGTGTGAGCAGGAGGGTGAGCTGGAGGGAGTGAGTGTGAGTGTGAGCAGGAGGGTGAGCTGGAGAGAGAAAATGAGTGTGAGTGAGCAGGAGGGTGAGCTGGAGAGTGAGTGTGAGCAGGAGGGTGAGCTGGAGAGTGAGTGTGAGCAGGAGGGTGAGCTGGAGGGAGTGAGTGTGAGCAGGAGGGTGAGCTGGAGAGAGTGACTGTGAATAGGAGGGTGAGCTGGAGAGAGAGTGTGAGCAGGAGGGTGAGTTGGAGAGAGAGTGAGTGTGAGCAGGAGGGTGAACTGGAGAGAGTGAGAGTGTGAACAGGAGGGTGAGCTGGAGAGAGTGAGTGTGAGTAGGAAGGTGAGCTGGAGGGAGTGAGTGTAAGTGTGAGCAGGAGGGTGAGCTGGAGAGACAGTGTGAGTGCACAGGAGGGTGAGCTGGAGAGAGTGAGTGTGAGTGCACAGGAGGGTGAGCTGGAGAGAGTGAGTGTGAGTGTGAGCAGGAGGGTGAACTGGAGAGAGTGTGGGGGTGAGCAGCAGGGTGAGCTGGAGAGTGAGTGTGAGTGTGAGCAGGAGGGTGAGCTGGAGAGACAGTGTGAATGTGAGCAGGAGGGTGAGCTGGAGAGAGTGTGAGTGTGAGCAGGAGGGTGAGCTGGAGAGACAGTGTGGTGTGAGCAGGAGTGTGAGTATGCACGTGCGCAGGCCTCTTACCATGGATGGTGTACCCCAGGGCATCTGCCAGCTGCTGGCTGGTGCTCCCTTCAGCTCCAAACTGCAGGATCTCCAGGGGGAGGGACACACCGGTGGGAGAGATGACAAAGTTCGTGTCATTTCTACATGCAGCCACGCTCTGGTAGAGGCGGAGTGCAAACTCAGTCTTCAGCAACATCATTCCTTCACGGAGGTGGCCATTTGTTTGGAGGAAGCAAGAGTGAAGGAAGAAGAGGGTGACCAGGAAAGGCAGCATGGAGGCCGAGGGTTCCTGCAATTCAAAGGGAAGAGATGCAGGGTAGGCAGGAAGCTGGTAACAAGAGAGGGCCATATCCCACAGAGGACTGGTATCCCCAGCTCTGTTTTGAGGGGCTGGGAATGGCTGAGGGAGACATGAATTGAGGTGTCTTGGTTACTGACCCTGAGGCCCACGCGCCTGGGCTGTAGGGCTGCAACTTCTTGTCTGAGCATGAGAAATAGTCACTGTGGTCCTTTGGAAGCCAAACTGTGGGTCTGAAGATCTACTTCTGCCACTTACTGGATGTGTGACTTTGGCAAAGCCCTGGTCAAATCAGAAGAAAAGTGTTATGATGGGAAAAGAAATGTACGAGGTAATCCTACTCATTTTTCTTGGTAGTTAGCCAGCTTATGGCTGTGATGTGTCTATCAGGAATAGTAATAAATAATTACTATGTTAAAGAGGACTTCATACATTTGCAATTAATTAATCATTCCAACAATCATAGTAGTATCTGGTATTATATTTCATCTATAAAGAGGATGATTGAAACTTTGAGGCTCAGTGACTCATTTATATGAGAAAAGAAACAGGGCTGTGACTCAAATCCTGGCCTTCTATGAACAGTATATAAAATATGCGACTACCTATGTACATTAAAATATTGATACATGAACTAATTGTACCTTGAATATCAGAATTCTTGTTATTCTGCATGAGTGGGGGAGTGAGCTGGAGATTCTGCGTGAGTCTCCAGCAAATTAGTCTCTAAAAGTGAATATTTTCACAAAGATAGCTCGTACCACAGAAAGGTACTCTTCCAAAGAAGTGAGATCATTAGGTAGAAAATAATGTGAGAAGAGAAAGGCAAAGCAAAAAAAAAATGTCTTCAATGACCATGCCACACATACAGCCAGCAGCAATTTTTGCTGAGTTGTCTAACTGTGGTATCATACCAGACTGATGTAAGAAGAGGTCCAAAATCACTTCCTGTAGAAGTTTGCAAGCAAGGCCACTAAGCTTGATGGTGCCTATTTTAGGTAAAGGTCCAAGATAGAATAGCATCCTCTTTTTTTACAACCCTTCCTCCCTGCAGCCAAGTACCAATGCAGTGCTTGGATGACCTTGGTACATAGTGCTCTCTCTCTCTCTCTCTCTGTCTGTCTGTCTGTCTGTCTGTCTGTCTGTCTGTCTCTCTCTCTCTCTGTGCGGCCCAGCCCAGGGTCATTTGAGAAAGCCTTAAGTCCTAGGGTTCTTGCAGCTCCTATAACCTCCCACTTCCCACAAGAACACTCAGCAATCAGACCTTGATGCCCCTGGGCTCCCCATGAACAAATCCCTGTCATGGCTCACCTTGAATGAGCCACTTACTCACGGACTTTTGTATCACTGTTGCACGTTTCCTTGCTTGATTCTGTTCTTGTGGGTCTTCAGCATTCATGTGCTCCCCTTTTAAAAAAGTGGAGCAGAATCTGCTTTGAATCACAAGACAGCACAGAGAGGAAGCTGGCGATCGCCGTCTCTGCCGGCGATGTCTCTACCACTCGGTCCAAATTCCTGGAGCCTGGAGGTCCTGCAGAGAGCCAGGAGAAGCAGCCCACACCAGGGCAGCAAAGCCCAGATCGGGAACAGAGCAGGGCTATGGGGGGGAGCCAGCCACACCCGTCAAGCCTTCTTAGGCTTGTGACCTGGTTGTACCAGCAAGGAACCCCGCATACAGCCCTTTGTCACATTGAGGAATTCCACTGATAACTTTGCTTATTGGGCTTTTGCTGGGTACCAGGTACCTAATGCTTCCCTCCTCCTCCTGTGAAGAAAACAATAAATCAGTCATTGGGCACGACTTAAAACTTTCAGCAAATGAAAAGAAATTCTGCAAAAGAGAAAACAGCGCAAGATATGGCACAATCAGTTCAGAGCAAACTGACTTGCATCATTTATTATTAATAAAAGTGAATGCACTAATTTATATATGTAACTTGAGCTATTAGTAATCAGGTTCTTCTCAGTAAGTCCAATGACTAATTTGAGAAAGAGACGATGTTGTCAATGAGTAAACACACATTTTTGGAAAGTATGAGCAGTTTCTGTCAAAAGTCTGTCCTTGTGATCAATTCAGAATTACATACATTTCTATTAAGGACTTAGGCCTTGTATTAAGTTCAAAATAGATGGTAGCTTATATGTGGTTACGGATTAAAGAAGAACTGAATGCGATTCTTAATAATTATCTCTCAGGCACCTGGTAGTGTTAATATTTAAAAACCAATGGACTGTTTTTCACCTGACAACTACCCATACCCCTGTGATCAGTGGGTAATTCACTTTAAAGAGTTTTATTGCTGACACCCAAGCCTGGGACAGTTTACAGGGCTTAGGATAGTTACAGTTCTACAATTACTTCACATAAAATATCCCCAGATCTTTACGTTAGATTCAATGCCGTGGACTCTGAGCCATAGTATGAAAGGGAAATAAACATGTCTAACTTATTTTATAGCACCCAGAGAGGTCATATCATTTATTCATCTGTCCATCCATACATTCATCCATCTATCCATCTGTCCATTCATCCGTCCATCCGCTCGTCCATCCTTCCATCCATCCAACAAATATTTCTTGATCGTCTGCTTGGTCACAAGTCACTGTGCTACTAGGTTCTGGGCATATGGCAGTGAACTAGTAACCTGGGCTCAGCTCCTATGGGACTCAGAGTCTTGTTCACTGCCTGCATATTTTAGATGCTGATGCTGATGGAGCCACAGTAACTTGTGAGGGCTGCCTTGTCACATTGTGAGCTCCCTGTAGCAGGAATTCAGGGGGAAATAGCTGATTCACTATTTGCCAGTAGTAGCAGTGGAGATAAGCTTATAAAAATATTTCCCAAATTGAAAAAAAGGCTGTTTGTGTAACTTCTACAAACATTTCTTCCTAACTCTATGAATATACCATTCTAACTTGCTTTTAAGAAGCATCTTTTGGGGAAAATGCTAGGGAAATTTAACATCCAGGGGATATTTTCTATATAGGCTAAACATTTCAAAGTGTGGATGAATTAAACATGAATTGCAAGTGATTTTTCTTCTGTGTACTCAGCCTTGAACTTGCGTATGTCACTGTGTCCTCTGACCATTTAAGCAGAGATTATCATGTTTATGTCTATCTTATTGGGATAGATGTTCGTTATACTGCTAAGTGAGACTTCGTTCTCGGAGACATTTATTTGTAATTATAACAACATATACAGTGAACATTATTGAGCACTTAGTGTGTTCCAGCTACGCTATTGGACCCTGTCCATTCACAATTGCAATGAATCCTCACAGAAATCCTATGAGGAATGTATTGTCATTCTCATTTTGCAGACGAAGAAACTAAGTCTAAAGAGCTTAAGTTCTTGCCTAAGTTCCCACCAGACCAAGCTGGAGTTTGAACCTAGGGCCACGTCGACGCTAAGGCTCATCACATTGTTGGTGCTCTCAGGAGCCAAGGGATGGGATCTCTTAAAATCCCTCTTGACTGTAGGATTCTAAGCCATTCGGTGACCAGCCCAGACTCTTTCGCTCATAATATGTGTTCACTTTGCCCACATTTACCAGGGATGTTGTGGTGAATCACCTGTAGGTAGACTGACATGAGACCCAGCACTCTGTAAAATTATGGTTTAACATTTTTTACTAGCTGTTTTCTTATAGATATAAACAAATCACTTTCAAATCCAAAGGTCTACCAACTAATGTGATGGATGGAAGCAATTCAGTTAGGACATAATTAATAGGTAGGCATCTCCTTTTTGTTATATGGGCTGCCTGTCTGGGGTTGTACAGAGAGTCCCATTTGTACCCCTGAACTTGAGGAGTTTGCCATGAAGAGATACCATGGGCACTACTAAAAGAAGTCTCAGGGAACAGCTAGAGCAAGCCTGAAAGCAACGCGAGGTAGCCTGCCACACAGTGCCGCAGAACCAGATGAAATCGGCAAGTCCTTCACGGGAAATGGTGCAGGTGGGCCTCCACCTGTCCTTCCAGGAAGGAAAGGCAGAGAGCGCTGCCTCTGGACTTCCTGCTGTCAACACAGTCCTCAAGTTCTTCATTGCTCTGCTGTGCATAGACTCGTAATAACCTGGACCTCTTTTCGATACCTTTCAGCATGGTATGCCAGAGAGAGCACAGAGGGCTGGCTTCAAACAACTGCTTTTCACTAACTGCAGACCTTGGGTAAGTCACTGAATTGCTCTCAGCTTTAGTTGCCTCGGCTGCAAAGATGTGTAATACCTACCTCTTACTGTGAAGATGACAAGAGACAGCCTTAGCATGGTGCCCGATAAGCAGGAAAGGCTGAAAGCATCAGCTTCTTTGGACTATGTCCCCATCCCTCATCTCATCTTACTTAAGAAAAGACCATCAAGGTTGCTTTTAGGCTTGCATAAGAAAGGGCTTGGGAATCGTCACATCACAGCTGGGTTGTGAATCTATGCTGTTTTATCTGGAAATATGTTTTTTAAAATTTATTTTATTTTATTGAAATGGGGTTTCATTGCCCAGACTGGAGTACAGTGGTGCGATCTCAGCTCACTGCAACCTTTGCCTCCCAGGTTCAAGTGATTCTCCTGCTTCAACCTCTTGAGTAGCTGGGATTACAGGGGCCCACCACCATGCCTGGCTAATTTTATATTTTTAATAGAGACAGGGTTTCACCATGTTGGCCAGGCTGGTCTGCAACTCCTGACCTCAAGTGATCCACCCACCTCAGCCTCCCAAAGTGCTGGGATTACAGGCATGAGCCACTGCATCCGGCCAGAAGTATGTTTTTAAGTGTCTTGCAAGAAATAGGTTGGAAACTTTAACAAAGGTCTCTAGACTTGAATTCAGAGCTAGTTTTTAATCTAACTTGTAGAAAGTTAGTTGCTTAGTAACTTACTTTGTTATTATGTTAACAAGAGTTATTGCCGTCTCAGGGGCAGATGGTCGAGTTAATCCTCCTCCTCAGTTCATGCCACATAGTCCCACTGTTCCATGCAAGCACCCCTCTCTTGCTTGTCATTTTGTTTCCTCTTAGGAATATGCTTTGAAAGAGATTGCTGTTATATGTGCATGCATTTTAAATTTACATACCTGCTTTTATGTTATGTATTTTATTATGTTCCCTAATGTTTTTCAGTAAACACAACGCTTTTGAGATGTAGCTGTGTGGTGCTATGCATGCATCTGATCCTTGCTTTCAGCTTCTGAGTGATACTCTACAGTGTGCGAGTGCCACATTTTCTTTCTTTTTTTTTTTTTGAGACGGAGTTTTCGCTGTTGTTACCCAGACTGGAGTGCAATGGCATGATCTCGGCTCACTGCAATCTCCGCCTTCTGAGTTCAAGCAATTCTTCTGCCTCTGCCTCCCGAGTAGCTGGGATTACAGGCACACACCACCATGTCCAGCTAATTTTTGTATTTTTAGTAGAGACGGGGTTTCGCCTTGTTGACCAGGATGGTCTCGATCTCTTGACCTCATGATCCACCTGCCTTGTGATCCACCTCCCAAAGTGCTGGGATTATAGGCGTGAGCCACCGTACCCGGCCAACTGCCACATTTTCTTTATCTGCTCTTCCAGTGATGAACATCCAGGTTGCCTTTAACTCCTCGTCAGTGCAAACAGCCCTTGAACAGCTCTTGTGGACTCTGTGGGAGTTTCCCTAGGACGTTTACTCAGGAAGAGAATTTCGAGGTTATAGACTATGCATATATTTAATTTTACTACGTAGCTCCACACTGTGGCCTGGAACATCTACATCCTTCTCCACCCCGCCAACACCCCGCATCTCTGCCAAGTATTTCCCATCACTTTTATTTTTCAACTTTAATAGATGCAAAGTAGTAGTATCTCATTCTGTCAATTTGGATTACCAATGATTTTGAGCGTCTCATAATATTCTTGTTACTTTTCTGTGTTTCCTTTTCAGAAATTACCTGTTTATACCCTTTATCCATTTTTCTATGTTGTGGGTGTCTTTTTCTTGTTGATTTGTAGTCTATATAGAATATACATCCCTTGCTAATTTTAGATGTTACAAATATTTTCTCCCTTTTTGGTCATTATTTAGTCTCTTCATGATGTCTTTTGTTGAAGAGAAATCCTTAATTTTCATGTATTTATATTTACATTGCTCTTTCCTACTGATGCGCAGTGTCCCTTCTGTCGTATGTCAGATCCCTGTATACACATGGGTATGCTCTGAGCTCTCTACTCTGTTCCATCATCAGTTCCTCTTTACCGAATTGTTTTCATAACTATGGCTTTAAAATATGTCTTGTTTTGTTTTGTTTTTTTGAGATGGATTCTCGCTCTGTCATCCAAGCTGGAGTGCAGTGATGCAATCTCGGCTCACTGCAATCTTTGCCTCCTGGGTTTAAGCAATTCTCCTGCCTCAGCCTTCCAAGTAGCTGGGATTACAGGCGTACACCACCACACCCAGCTTATTTTTTTGTATTTTTGGTAGAGACGGGGTTTCACCATGTTGGTCAGGCTAGTCTTGAACTCCTGACCTCAAGTGATCCACCTGCCTTGGCCTCCCAAAGTGCTCGGATTACAGGTGTGAGCCACCACACCTGGCCAAAAGATGCCTTATTATGTAATAGACAAGTTCCTCTCTTTACTATTCTTTTTAAAAGTTGATTGAGCTTTCAAAAAATTTATTGATTCTCCAAATCCATTTTAAAGTCAGTTTTCTAAGAGCCTCAAAAAAAAAAATTCAACTAAAATGGGATTATCACGGCACTGAATCTATTGATTTATCTGGAAAAATTTAACAATTTAATAAGTTATCCCATCCAAGACTATGGAATGTCTTTTCATTTATTAAAATCATCTCCTATCAGATTATTTTAATAAAACTTTAAAGTTTTAAAAATAGAGATCTTGTGTATATTCTTGATTAAATTTCCATGCTTCATGCTTTTATTGCCATGTTCTTTTTATTATTATTATTATTTTGTTGTTGTTTTTTTTTTTTATTATTGCATTTTAGGTTTTGGGGTACATGTGCAGAACATGCAAGATAATTGCATAGGTACACACGTGGCAGTGTGATTTGCTGCCTTCCTCCCCTTCACCCACATCTGGCATTTCTCCCCATGCTATCCCTCCCCAACTCCCCCCACCGCTGTCCCTCCCTATTTCCCCCAACAGACTCCAGTGTGTGATGCTTCCCTCCCTGTGTCCATGTGTTCTCATTGTTCATCACCCGCCTATGAGTGAGAACATGTGGTATTTCATTTACTGTTCTTGTGTCAGTTTGCTGAGAATAATGTTCTCCAGATTTATCCATGTCCCTACAAAGGACACGAACTCATCATTTCTGATTGCTGCATAATATTCCACGGTGTATATGTGCCACATTTTCCCGGTCCAGTCTATCATCGATGGGCATTTGGGTTGGTTTGCTATTGTAAACAGTGCTGCAATGAACTTTCATGTGCATGTGTCCTTATAGTAGAATGATTTATAGTCCTTTGGATATATGCCCAGTAATGGGATTGCTGGGTCAAATGGAATTTCTATTTCTAGGTCCTTGAGGAATCACCACACTGTCTTCCACAATGGTTGAACTAATTTACACTCCCACCAGCAGTGTAAAAGTGTTCCTATTTCTCCACATCCTCTCCAGCATCTGCTGTCTACAGATTTTTTAATGATTGCCATTCTAACTGGCATGAGACGGTATCCCAATGTAGTTTTGATTTGCATTTCTCTAATGACCAGTGATGATGAGCATTTTTAAATATGTTTGTTGGCCTCATGTATGTCTTCTTTAAAGTGTCTGTTTATATCTTTTGCCCATTTTTTAATGGGCTCGTTTGTTTTTTTCTTGTAAATCTGTTTTAGTTCTTTGTAAATTCTGGATATCAGCCCTTTGTCAGATGGGTAAACTGCAAACATTTTTTCCCATTCTATTGGTTGCTGATTCACAATAATGACTGTTTCTTTTGACGGGCAGAAGCTGTGGAGTTTGATTAGGTCCCATTTGTCTATTTTGGCTTTTGTTGCCAATGCTTTTGGTGTTTTGTTCATGAAGTCCTTGCCTACTCCTATGTCCTGAATGGTTTTGCCTAGATTTTCTTCTAGGGTTTTTATGGTGCCAGGTCTTATGTTTAAGTCTTTAATCCATCTGGAGTTAATTTTAGTGTAAGGTGTCAGGAAGGGGCCCAGTTTCTGCTTTCTGCACATGGCTAGCCAGTTTTCCCAACACCATTTATTAAACAGGGAATCCTTTCCCCATTGCTTGTTTTTGTCAGGCTTATCCAAGATTGTATGGTTGTAGATATGTTGTGTTGCTCCGATGCTTCTGTTCTGTTGCATTGGTCTATATCTCTGTTTTGGTACCAGTACCATGCTGTTTTGATTACTGTAGCCTTGTAGTATAGTTTGAAGTCCGGTAGATACTTCCTGCTGTGTTCTTTTTGCTTAGAATTGACTTGGCTATGCAGGCTCTCTTTTGGTTCCATATGAAGTTTAAGGTGGTTTTTTCCAGTTCTGTGAAGGAGGTCATTGGTAGCTTGATGGAGATAGCATTGAATCTGTAAATTACTTTGGGCAGTATGGCCATTTTCACGATACTGATTCTTCCTAACCATGAACATGGAATGTTTCTCCATCTGTTTGTGTCCTTTCTCATTTCGTTGAGCAGTGGTTTGTAGTTCTCCTTGAAGAGGTCCTTTACGTTCCTTGTTAGTTGTATTCCTAGGTATTTTATTCTTTTTGTAGCAATTGTGAATGGCAGTTTGTTCTTGATTTGGCTCTCTTTAAGTCTGCTATTGGTGTATAGGAATGCTTATGATTTTTGCACATTGATTTTGTATCCTGAGACTTTGCTGAAGTTGCTTATCAGTTTCAGCAGTTTTTGGGCTAAGACAATGGGTCTTCTAGATATACTATCATGTCATCTGCAAATAGAGACAATTTGGCTTCTTCCTTTCCTATTTGAATACCCTTTATTTCTTTTTCTTGCCTGATTGCTCTGGCTAGAACTTCCAGTACTATATTGAATAGGAGTGGTGAGAGAGAGTATCCTTTTCTAGTGCCAGATTTCAAAGGGAATGCTTCCAGTTTTTGCCCATTCAGTATGATATTGGCTGTTGGTTTGTCATAAATAGCTTTTATTATTTTGAGATACATTTCATTGATACCGAGTTTATTGAGGGTTTTTAGCATAAAGGGCTGTTGAATTTTGTCAAAGGCCTTCTCTGCGTCAATTGAGATAATCATGTGGTTTTTGTTTTTGGTTCTGTTTATGTGGTGAATTACGTTTATAGACTGCGTATGTTGAACCAGCTGTGCATCCCTGGGATGAATCCTACTTGATCATGGTGGATAAGCTTTTTGATTTGCTGTTGCAATTAGCTTGCCAGAATTTTATTGAAGGTTTTTGCGTCTATGTTTATCATGGATATTGGCCTGAAGTTTTCTTTTCTTGTTGAGTCTCTGCTGGGTTTTGGTATCAGGATGATGTTGGTCTCATAAAATGATTTGGTAAGGATTCCCTCTTTTTGGATTATTTGGAATAGTTTCAGGAGGAATGGTAACAGTTCCTCTTTGTGTGTCTGGTAGAATTCGACTGTGAACCCATCTGGACCTGGGCTTTTTTTGTGTGGTAGGCTCTTAATTGCTGCCTCAACTTCAGATCTTGTTATTGGTCTGTTCATAGTTTCGACTTCCTCCTGGTTTATGCTTGGGAGGACACAGGAGTTCAGGAATTTATCCATTTCTTCCAGGTTTACTAGTTTATGTGCATAGAGTTGTTTGTAATATTCTCTGATGATGGTTTGAATTTCTGTGGAATCTGTGGTGATTTCCCCTTTATCGTTTTTTATTGTATCTATTTGGTTATTCTCTCTTTTCTTTTTTATTAATCTGGCTAGTGGTCTGTCTATTTTGTTGATCCTTTCAAAAAACCAGCTCCTGGATTTATTGATTTTTTGAAGGGTTTTTCGTGTCTCTATCTCCTTCAGTTCTGCTCTGATCTTAGTTATTTCTTGTCTTCTGCTAGGTTTTGAGTTTTTTTGATCTTGCTCCTCTAGCTCTTTCAATTTTTGACGATAGGGTGTCAATTTTAGATCTCTCCATTCTTCTCATGTGGGCACTTATTGCTATACATTTTCCTCTAGAAACTGCTTTAAATGTGTCCCAGAGATTGTGGTATGTTGTGTCTTCGTTCCGTTGGGTTTGAAGAACTTCTTTATTTCTGCCTTCCTTTCATTGTTTATCCAGTCAACATTCAAGAGCCAGCTGTTCAGTTTCCATGAAGCTGTGCGGTTCTGAGTTAGTTTCTGAATTCTGAGTTCTAACTTGATTGCACTGTGGTCTGAGAGACTGTTTGTTATGATTTCCATTCTTTTGCATTTGCTGAGGAGTGATTACTTTCAATTATGTGGTCAATTTTAGAGTAGGTGTGATGTGGTGCTGAGAAGAATGTATATCCTGTGGATTTGGGTTGGAGAGTTCTGTAAATGTCTATCAGGTTTGCTTGTTCCAGGTCTGAGTTCAAGTCCTGGATATCCTTATTAATTTTCTGACTGGTTGATCTGTCTCATCTTGACAGTGGAGTGTCAAAGTCTCCCACTATTATTGTGTGGGAGTCTAAGTCTCTTTGTAAGTCATTAAGAACTTGCCTTATACATCTGGGTGCTCCTGTATTGGGTCCATATATAGTTAGGATTGTTAGCTCTTCTTGTTGTATCGATCCTTTTACCATTATGTAATGACCTTCTTTGTCTCTTTTGATCTTTGTTGCTTTAAAGTCTATTTTATCAGAGATGAGAATTGCAAGTCCTGCTTTTTTTTTGCTCTCCATTTGCTTGGTAAATCTTCCTCCATCCCTTTATTTTGAGCCTTTGTGTATCCTTGCATGTGAGATGGGTTTCCTGGATATGGCACACCAATGGGTTTTGGCTTTTTATCCAATTTGCCAGTCTGTGTCTTTTGATTGGTGCATTTGGCCCATTTACATTTAGGGTTAATATTGTTATGTGTGAATTTGATACTGCCATTTTGATTCTAGCTGGCTGTTTTGCTCATTAGTTGATGCAGATTCTTCATTTTGTTGATGCTCTTTAGCATTTGGTATGTTTTTGGTGTGGCTGGTACTGGTTGTTCCTTTCTATGTGTAGCACCTCTTTCAGGAGCTCTTGTAAAGCAGGCCTGGTGGTGACAAAATCTCTGAGTACTTGCTTGTTCGTGAAGGATTTTATTTTTCCTTCACTTATGAAGCTTAGTTTGGCTGGATATGAAAGTCTTGGTTGCAAGTTCTTTTTTTTAAGGATGTTGAATATTGACCCCCCACTCTCTTCTGGCTTGTAGGGTTTCTGCCGAGAGATCTGCTGTGAGTCTGATGGGCTTCCCTTTGTGGGTAACCCGACCTTTCTCTCTGGCTGCCCGTAGCATTTTCTCCTTCATTTCAACCCTGGTGAATCTGACGATTATGTGCCTTGGGGTTGCTCTTCTTGAGGAATATCTTTGTGGTGTTCTCTGTATTTCCTGGATTTGAATTTTGGCCTGCCTTGCTATGTTGGGGAAATTTTCCTGGATAATATCCTGAAAAGTGTTTTCCGCCTTGGATTCATTTTCTTCATCACATTCAGGTACACCTATCAAAGGTAGATTAGGTCTCTTCACGTAGTCCCACATTTCTTGGAGACTTTGTTCATTCCTTTTTGTGCTTTTTTCTCTAATCTTGCCTTCTTGTTTTATTTCGTGGAGTTGATCTTTGACCTCTGATATCCTTTCTTCTGCTTGGTCAGTTTGGCTGTTGAAACTTGTGCATGCTTTGTGAAGTTCTCGTGTTGTGTTTTTCAGCCCCATCAATTCACTCATATTCCTCTCTAAGTTGTCCATTCTTTTTATCATTACATCAAATCTTTTATCAAGGTTCTTAGTTTCTTTGCATTGACTTAGAACATGTTCTTTTAGCTCACGGAAGAATCTCATTACCCACCTGCTAAAGTCTAATTCCGTCATTTCATCACACTCATTCTCCATCCAGCTTTGTTCCCTTGCCGGTGAGGAGTTGTGATCCCTTGTAGGAAGTGAGGTGTTCTGGTTTCAGGTGTTTTCCTCCTTTTTGTGCTGGTTTCTTCCCATCTTTGTGGGTTTATCCACCTGTTGTCTGTGTAGTTGCTGATTTTCCGATTGGGTCTCTGAGTGGACGTCCAGATTGTTGATGATGAAGTTATTTCTGTTTCTTAGTTTTCCTTCTAACAGACTGGCTCCTCTGGTTTAGGACTGCTGAGGTCCACTCTAGGCCCTGCTTTCCTGGGGGTCACCTGCAGCAGCTGCAGAACAGTAAGGGTTGCTACCAGTTTTTTCTTCTGCTATCTTTGTCCCAGAATGATGCCTGCCAAATGTCAGTCTGATCAGTCCTTTGTGAGGTGACTCTTTGGATATACGGGCATCAGGGAGCTGCTTGAGGAGACAGTCTGTTCTTTATAGGAGCTCAAGTGCCGAGCTGTGAGCTCTGTTGTTCATTCAGAGCTGCTAGGAAGGTACATTTAAGTCTGCTGCAGCAGAACTCCTAAACCCCCTTTTTTTCCCCAGGTGCTCTGTCCCAGGGGGTTAGGGCTTTATTTATGATAGCCGTTGCATTGCTGCCTTCCTCCCACCAACCCCCGGGCTGTCCTGCTCAGCAAGGGGACAGCCTAGTCACTGCCTGTAGAGGTTTTGCTGAGCCTCTGCTGTGTGTTCTGCCCTGCTGTTGGCTCCACCCTGCTGCCGTGTGTATTTCCCTGCAGTCCTGTTTATATGGGTGTGGTTAGAACTGCCACAGCAATGTTGGCCTGCCTCTGTAATGGCAGACTCTCTCTGTTATGGCAGGTTGCCTCAGCAATGGCGGGCTGTGTCAGCAATGGCAGACTACCTCTGTAGGGGTGGAGTGCTTTGGTAATGGCGGACGCCCCTCCCACACAGAGCTGGGCCGTCCTGGTTTTAGCTGTGCTTGCCGTGAAACTCTCAACCCCGAGTGTTTCCAATTGCTGTTTGTTTGTTTTTGAGGGCGTGGGACCCGCCAAGCCTGATCACCTGGCTCCCTGCCTCAGAGCCCTTTTTTTTTTTTTAAGTTGAACGGTTGACTCTCTCCCAGGTGTTCCAGTTGCCTGATGAAAGGGCGCTGGGATCTGTGTGATTTCCTGTGCAGCAACCCACTGCGCTGGCTGAAACAACGTGGCTGCCTGGGAATCTCCTGGCCTGCTTTATGTTTCAGTCCCGTTTAATCAGATGAATGGGCTAATCTGCCTTCCCAGATCTCAAATTGCCAGTTTAACAGGGCAACCAGACCAGTGTATTTTGTATGGAGAGCCGCTGCACTGTGGCGCTGGCTGAAACAGCTGTGCCGGCCGAAACAGCCGCTCTGGCCAAAACAGCTGCTCTGGTGACCTGTGGGTCTCCTCCACCTTGGAATCTCCTGGTCTGTGGGCAATAAAGATCTGTCTGGAAATATGGCGTTCACTCACCCTCTGTGCTTTCACTGGTAGCTACAATCCTGAGCTGTTCCTACAGCGCCATCTTCCTCCTTCCCTCTTTTTATTATTAATAGACTGTTTTAAGAACAGTTTTAGGTTTCCAGAAAAATTGAGCAGAAAGTATGGAGTTCCCATAAACCCCCTCTTCCTTCTTCCCAGTTTCCCCAATTATTAACATATTGCATATTGGTATATTTGTTATAATTGATACATTATTAAGTAGAGTCAACAGTTTACATTAGGGCTTACTCTGTTGTACTGTTCTATGAGTTTTGTCGAATACATAATGTCATGTGTCCCCCATTATAGTAACATACAGAATAGTTACATTCCCCTAAAATTGCTCTGTGTTCCATACATTAATTCTTCCCTCCTCCTTTTCCCTTAACCCCGGGAACCACTGACCTTTTTACTGTCTCTATAGTTTTGCCTGTTCCAGAATGTCATTTACTTGTAATCATACAGTATGTTGCCTTTTCAAACTGGCCTCTTTTACTTAGCAAAATGCATTTAAACTTCTTCCATGTGCTTTTGAGGCTTGATACCTCATTTCTTTTTATCACTAAATAGTATTCCATTATATGCATATCCCACAGTTCATTTATTCATTCACCTATTGAATGACATTTTGCTTGCATCCAAGTTTTGGCAATTACAAAGGAGGCCACTGTAAACATTCGTGTGCAGATTTTTGTGTTTTCAATTCAATTGGATACTTAGGAGTCAATTGTGTGACTTTATGGTAAGACTATGTTTAGCTTTGTAATAAACTGCCCATCTGTCTTCTAAATGGCTGTGCTTTTTTGCATTTCCACCAGCAATAAATGGGTGTTTCTGTCACTCCCCATCCTTGCTACCTTTCGGTGTTGTCAATGTTTTGTGTTTTAGCCATTGTAATATGCACATAGTGGTGTCTCATTGTTGTTTCAACTTGCAATTCTCAGATGACATGAGTGGCAGCATCTTTTCATAAGCATATTTACCATCTGCATGTCTTCTTTGGGTAGGTGTTTGCTCAGATCTTTTGTCCACTTTTTAATTGAGTTGTTTGTTTTCTTATTGTTGAGTTTTAGGCATTCTTTGTATATTTTGGGTATAAATCCTTTTTCAGGTAGATGCTTTCAAAAATTTTATTCCCAGTTTGTGGCTAGTCCTTTCAACTCTTAATGAATTCCTTTTTTCTATTAACATTTATAGAACGTAAAATGGTAAATGTCTGCCAGTGTTAAAGAAATTTAGGTGATACAATCAACACATGGTTGACAGTCTCCAAAGATGGATGTCACCAAATTAGAGAAAGTGTTGGGCAGATGTTAGAGGCATGCATAGTGATTTTTGTCATTCTCATATTTTGGTTCTGATTAGGAAGAGTGGGTTTGTGGTTGTGAGAGGTTTAAAGTGTAGATGTGGTGTGAGAAGTCATGTGCTGTGAACTAGAAGTGAGAGACTAAGTAATAAGGCAAAGAGATGGAAGGTGTCTTTGCTTCTGCTGCTATAACAAAAAATCTTAAACTGGGTAATTTATAAACAAAGTAAATGTATTGCTCATAGTTCTGGAGGCTGGGAAGTCCAAGATCAAGATCAAGATCAAGGTATTGGCCAATTTGGTGTCCAGTAAGGGCCCATTCCTCATAGATGATGGTGTCCAGGTGTTTCCACAGGGCGGAAGAGATACAAAAGCTAGTTCTTTTGAGCCCTTTCATAAGGGCACTAATCCTATTCATGAGGGCTCTGCTCTCAATTCTTAATCACCTCCTATAAAGTTTCAACATATGAATTTAGAGACCATAGCAGAGGTGTTTTGGGGACCTCACAAATTCTGGGGACATATGCTCAGGGCTCATGAAGGTATTGTTTGCGCTGGTGAATTTGATACCAGAACCAGTGTGAACAGCATTTCTGCCTCAAACAATTTCTGGCTCCAAATAAGGCCTTAGTATGAGTTCAAAGCAATTATTACTTAGCTTGGAAAATAATCCTAAAAACAGAGAAAATTCAGCAGAAAGTAACTAAGGTTGAAAATGGAAAAAATGCATCGAATTGTGTTTGTATGTTCTGGTTCTTTAAGTCTTGCTTTCCATCCCATTTTTTTCATATATTTCTATGTAATTTGCACTTTGATGACTTTTATACAGTTAGATTTAACCAATGAAAGAAAATAAAGGAGAGTTGGAGTTATCCCCTATTTTTCTCCCTAATATCCAGGCTGGATAACAAGACAGGTGAGGCTGTTCCTCACCAAGCAAGCCTCACTCTTAAGGAATTGAAAAGCATGTTAGTAGGAAAAACCAGCCCAGGGGCTACAGGCTCAGGGCATGTGCCTCTCCTTCTTCTTCATGGAGTGGGGCATCCCTGATTTGTCACAACATTCCTTCCCAGTGAGCTCAGCCATGACTTACAGGTCTTCTTGCACTCGGGGAGTCACTTCCAGTACATCAGAGTTGGTGTGTGAGAAGAAATGTATTTGCCATCCCTGAAGTAGCCTGAACTGTTTCATAAAGACCCTTTGGCTCAGCTCTGAAAACTCCATGACCTCCTGGGAACCCACAAAGTACAGGACTCCACTGGCTACTGGATGACACGCTGGGTAGCATGTGGGCAAACTGCCTGGTGGCATTATTACACAGCAGAGACATTGATGAATCACAAGCATGCCCAGGTGGCCCTGAAGCTCTCAAGCCCAGAGAGGGAGCTCCTGAGCAATACCATGGGCTGTGGCCAGCCACTGCCTTGGCTGTCATTCCTGTATGTCCTTTTCATTTCCCACACACTATGGCCTGAGCCAAACACGTCAGAAACATTTGTTGCTGGTCACACTGAGGCCACAATCTCAGAAAACAAATCACGAGCCACTGTGAAGCTGCACAGGAGTTCATGAGTGGGAGTAAGGACAGCAAGGCTAGGGGAATTCTGTGAGTCTTTCAATAGTAGCTTTAAACAAATTCTGCTCATGGGAGAGATTAGGGCTGGGGGAGAGGGGCACATGGTCCCTGGCAGACCCTGCAGACTTCAGGAAAGAGCCTAGGAACAGGATGCCACGCTGATACATCAACCCAACCCATGCAAGGTGACCACCCTTTTTCTTTCTTTCTTTTTTTTTTTTTTGGTGGGGGAGGAAAGAAGGGAAATAAGATAAGGAGGGGATGGAGAGAGCAACAGTTGGGTTTAAAGCATTCTGCAAATGAAAGAGGGCCCTTGGCACTGTGATGTGCCAGTTAATGCTCTGCTCTTGGGGTACCAGGGAGGCTGCACCTCCATTTTCCAGCCTGTTCCTAGGAAAATGCAGTGGGGCCTGAGGGACAAGGTAAAGAGGATAATTTTAAAGCAGAGGCAGAATTGCAGCACACACATTCTGCAACCATGCCCCACAGGAGATCAGAGGTAGGAGGAAGTGGGAGGTTGTGAGATCAAGATTTTTAAACTTTGTTATTTCTGTTTTTGTCACAAGAGTGATGGTGATGCGGTTTGGATGGAGGAAAGTGTGCTGTAGGAGGGGCAGCACAGAGAAGCCACAAAGGCTGGCGCTGGTCTGGAATGTTTCTGGATGCAGGAGCCTGGACACAGTGTCTGTGTAATTAGCAATGCCACCAAAACATGGACTTGGTGCCCAGTGCTCTGAATCCAGCAAGCCAATTGGGAAGCAGGGTGTCAGAGCTAGGTTGTAGATGGAACACAGTGAGGCCGCCCTGGGAGGCTGGTGGATTGCCCTTTCAGGTGACCAAGGCTGTCGGTCCTGCTCGCCTCTTAGCCAAGGGTGTGAAGGATGGAGGTCTCAGTGGACAAGTCCGGGGCTCTCTCAGGGTTCCCACCTTCAGGGCCTGCTACATTATATCTTGGAGCAGCCGCACTCCAACAGAGCCCAAAGCTGATTATTCCTAGAAAATGGAAAATTTCAAGCACCATGGGCTTCCCAGGTCCTCTTTGTTGGAATCGTTAATGCACATAGTAGTATAAAGGGTTTTTTATTCTGAGGAATTACATCTTTAGTCAAAGCTAGAGCCTAGGTTTAGTATGTCAAGGAGTGGCATGCATGCCTTTAGTTCCAGCTGCTCGGGAGCCTTAGGCGGGAGGATCACCTGAGCCCAGGAGCTTGCGACTGCAGTGAGCTTTCATGTCACTGCACTCCAGTCTGTGCTACAGAACAAGACCCCATATCTAAAAATAAATAACAAAAGGATTTTTAAAAGAATGTTAATGAGTGGGAACCATCACACACAAAAACACCACTTAGTTTAAAGAGAGTTCAGTTACTCATTTCCTTCAACAAGCTAAGAGGCACCTGTGAGCCAGCAAGAGGGGGCTGAGTAGGGAAGGCACGTGCCACCTGTCAGGAACTGACCCATCTCCCCCTTGGCTTTGGCTGCACTCACTCTTGGCTGATGCATCCCATGGTCTCCACTGGCAGAGGTCTTTGTCTCCATCTTCCCCAGGACAGAGTCCCTTATGGGTGGCATGTGGTGAACTGCAGCCAGCTTGGGACACAGTGGGAAGATGTAGGGGGTCATCAACACTCACACAGTCTGGCAGCGGGTCTCTGTGCTAACTGCAGAGCCTGGGAGCTCTGGACTTGCCTCCTAGTCTAATGGTTTGTGGTTGCGTCTACCATATTGGTTGCACCCAAAAATTACCTAAGCCATGACATCACTGGCTGTACATGTGGTTTCCAAGTTATATCACAACTTACCAGTTTATGCCATAAATTTTCTGTACAGTCCAAAACATGTCTATGACTCTGGGGTAGAGCTGTTTATCGTTTTTGAAGGAGGTAGCCATATGCTCATTGGGAATGGCGTAAACATGTTGATCATTTTAACTACTTTTGAAAAAAACATGTTTATAAGCAAAGGACTGTTTTTTGTGGAAAAGCTTGTTTACCAGTTTTAAGCACAGCAAACAGGTTTTTATTTATGCCTGTTAAAACGGAAGATGAGGTATCCTTTACAAAAATTCACTTTGCATATCATAGACTACACAAGGAATTACCCTTGGTACCTATTGTTTGTTTCAGTGTGTATTTAGATTAGTTTGTATTTTCCAATACACTGGGCTTGTCATCCTAGAAGCAGGGTAGCGCTGCTTTCATTTGGGGACATTCCACTGAAGAAAATACTCAGAAGAATAATGGAGCCCTGACTGTCTGATTATTGGTGGCTTGGACATTATACTCCATGAGGATAGGGGGAGTTTTTTCTTGTTCATAGCCGTATTTCCAGTTCTGAGAATAGAGTCTGGCATATGGAAGGTGCTTAATACATAGTTATTGAACAAATGAGTGAATCAAAGAAAGGGAGAGTTGGCTTTTTAACAGATACTTTGTCATCTCACGCTCCATGCTGAGGAGTTTACAGTATCACTTAGGTCTTACTTTTTACTCAAAACCTTTTTCCCTATGAGATAAGAAAAGAGCAGATATTTGAACTGTTATACAAATAAGAAAAAATACTTAGGAACCTTTGCCCTGCATGGATTCATGGTAAAGTGGGGACTCGTGGCTCCTCATCCCAGGTTCAAGGGGACTGGCCCAGCAGCCAGGTGGGGCAGCTGTGAGCTGCTTGCCTGCCAGAGGCAGCCTCCTGTCCCATGCCAGCCCTGGGGATCTGCCTCCTGCCAATCACACTGGGGAAGCTGCCTCTCTCTTGCATCTCTCAGGCCTGGAGTTTATCCAGATTCCACAGAGAGGGAGGGGCTTGTGGGGATTAGGGGACTAATGCCTGCTTTCTAAATTCAGGAGTTAACAGGGAGCCCAGAGTCAGTGGTAATGCCAGGGAATGCTGGGTTTCTTTTTCAGAAAGAATCAGGTATGAGCTGTGGAGCCACTAAGGCAGCAGGAGCTAAAGCCTTGTGAGCAGGGGGTTTGCACTGGGGCCCCACAAGTCAAGTCAGTGAGCAGGATCCCCGTCATGTCCCACAGCTTAATCCCAGCCCTGCCATGTTATTCCTTGCTGAATTGCCTGGGCCCAGTCTCTTTAACGTCTTTGAGCCTCAGTTTCCTAATCTGTAAACCAGAAATAATAACTGCACCTCAAGTTTGTGTTTAAGTGAAATAATTTATATGAAAGTAGTTTGTAAATCTTGAAGTTCTTTAAACATATACTATCATGCATCACTTAACAATAAGGATAGGTCCTGAGAAATGCACTATTAGGCAATTTCATTGTTGTGCAAGCATCACAGAGTGTACTTACACAAACCTAGATGGCGGAGCCTGCTCTACATGTAGGCTGTAGGGTCTAGCCTATTGCTCTTCAGCTATAAACCTGAACAGCATGTTACGGTACTGAATGCTGTAGACAATATAACCCAACAGGAAGTATTTGTGTATCTAAACAAATCTAAACATAGACAAGACATAGAAAAAATACAGCATAAAAGATTTTAAAATGGTGCACCTGTGTAAGGTATTTACCATGCATGGAGCTTGCAGGGTTGGAAGTTACTGTAGGTGATTCAGTGAGTGAGTGGGGAGTGCACGGGATGGCCTGTGACATTACCATACACTACCATAGACTTCACAAACACCTACACTTAGGCTACATTACATTTAGAAAATATTTTTCTATCTTCAATAACAAATTAACCTTAGCTTACTTGACTAAACTTAAATTTTGTTTTACTTTTGACTTTTTTGCGATAACACTGAATTTAAAACACAAATACATTGTAGAGCTGTACAAAAATATTTTCTTTATGTCTGTATTCTATATGCTTTTTTCTTTTCTTTCTTTCTTTTTTTTTTTTTGAGACGGAGTTTCACTCTTGTTGCTCAGGCTGGAGTGCAATGGTGCGATCCTGGTTCACTGCAACCTCTGCCTCCCTGATTCAAGCAATTCTCCTGCCTCAGCCTCCCGAGTAGCTGGGATTATAGGCATGCGCCACCAAGCCCAGCTAATTTTGTATTTTTACTAGAGATGGGGTTTCTCCATGTTGGCCAGGCTGGTCTTGAACTCCTGATCCCAGGTGATTCACCCACCTCGGCCTCCCAAAGTGCTGGGATTACAGGCATGAGCCACTGCGCCTGGCCTCTATATTACTTTTATTTATGTATTTATTTATTTTTATTCTTTAAACTTTTTTGTTAAAAACTAAGATATAAACACCTGCATTAGCCTCAGCCTTCACAGGGTCAGGATCGTCAGTATCACTGTCTTCCACCTCCACATCTAATCCCACTGGAAGGTCTTCAGGGGCCATAACATGCATGGAGCTGTCATCTGCCATAACAAAGCCTTCCTCTGGATCCTCCTCAAGTACATGATGAAGGCGTTTGACAGTCTTTAGAAAAGTTTTTAAACCTTTTTCTTTTTGTAGAGACAGTATCTTGCCCAGATTGCCCAGACTGGCCTCCAACTTCTGGGCTCAAGTGATCTTCCTGCCTCATGACTAGCTGGGAGTATAGGCATGGGCTACTGTGCCCAGCTAACATTTTTTTTTTTTTTATGAGTAGAAGGAGTACAGTCTAAAATAAGGACTAAAAGTATAGTAAATATATAAACTAGAAACACAGTAAGTAATTTATTATGAAGAATTATGGACTGTTCATAATTGCATTGCTATACTTTTATATGACTGGCAGCATAGCAGATGGGCTTACACCAGCATTACTACAAATACGTGAGTAATGAGTTATGCTATATGGTGTTATGATGGCTATGACATCACTTAGGTGCATGGGAAGTTTTCGACTCCATTATAGTCTCATGGGACCACTGTTGTATATGTGATCTGTCATTGACTGAAATGTCATTATACAGTGCATAACTGTGTTATTATTTTTAGTTAGATCTTTAAAAATTTATTATTACATTTTGAGGCAGAGTGTCAGTCTGTCACCCAGGCTGGAGTGCAGTGGGGCAATCTTGGCTCACTGCATCCTCGGCCTCCTGGGTTCAAGCAATTCCCCTGCCTCAGCCTCCTGAGTAGCTGGGACTCAGGCGTGTGCCACCACACCTGGCTAAGTTTTGTATTTTTAGTAGAGGTGAGGCTTTGCTATGTTGGCCAGGCTGGTCTCAAACTCCTGAACTCAGGTGATCTACCCGCCTTGGCCTCCCAAAGTGCTGGGATTATAGGCATGAGCCAGCATGCCCAGCCCTATTTTTAGTTAGATTTAAAAAATAAGAGCCTACTTTTATTGAGAAGGGCCATGCAAAGCCTTTTACAAGCATTATCTCATTTAATCTTCATAATGATCCTGTCAGGTAAATGTCCCTTATGGTCATTTGAAAATATACACCTCCTGTTGTTGCCAAAATACTCTTAAAGAATACTTAGTCCTATACATTCAAATGTTTTTCGTAGTATCTCAGTTATAAATTGTATATAAAGTTATTTAGTAAAATACTTCAACTCCATGTTTTTGTAAAATAATCTCCATTGGGTAATTAGTAAATCCTATAAATAAAGACAAATTACATCAATTGAGAAATCTAATTACAAATTATCCTTCACTTAAAGGGTTAGTTCCACATTTGGAGGGACCTGAAGATTATAAAAGCTGTGGAGACTTTTAATAAGAAAAGTAATATAAAATTTGCTCAATAAATAGATGTTAATTTAAATCAAGAAAATAATCCATGGCAAACTTTAATATTAAATAAAAGCAAGTAGCTAAATGTTACAACATTCAGGAAAAAATGTTTTTATTATCATTATTATGATATAATTAGAATTTTTTTTTTTTTTGAGACGGAGTTTCGCTTTTATTACCCAGGCTGGAGTGCAATGGCGCGATCTCAGCTCACCACAACCTCCGTCTCCTGGGTTCAAGCAATTCTCTTGCCTCAGCCTCCTGAGTAGCTGGGACTACAGGCGCGCGCCAACATGCCCAGCTAATTTTTGTATTTTTAGTAGAGACGGGGTTTCACCCTGTTGACCGGGACGGTCTCGATCTCTTGACCTCGTGATCCACCCACCTCAGCCTCCCATAGTGCTGGGATTACAGGCTTGAGCCACTGTGCCCGGCCTGATATAATTAGAATTATATTTTTTCCTGTGGTAAAAAAACCACCATCCTAACAAAAAAAAAAAAACCGTTTTTTTTTTGAGACAGAGTCTCACTCTGTCACTAGACTGGAGTGCACTGCTGCAATCTCAACTCACCGCAACCTCTGCCTTCTGGGTTTGGGTGACTCTCCTGCCTCAACCTCCAGAGTAGCTGGGACTACGGGTGCCCACCACCATGCCTGACTAATTTTCATAGTTTTGGTAGAGATGGGGTTTCACCATTTTGGCCAGGCAGGTCTCGAACTCCTAACCTCAGCTGATCTGCCCGCCTTGGCCTCCCAAAATGCTGGGATTACAGGCGTGAGTCACTGTGCCCGACTGTTTTTTCTCATTTTTAATATTAAAATGATTACCCTAATAGCATTTCATTATATATGTGAAATTTAAAATGCTTTAAAGTATTTCAAGAGTCTCAGCTTGGCCGGGCGCGGTGGCTCAAGCCTGTAATCCCATCGCTATGGGAGGCTGAGGCGGGTGGATCACGAGGTCAAAAGATCGAGATCATCCTGGTCAACATGGTGAAACCCCGTCTCTACTAAAAATACAAAAAACTAGCTGGGCATGGTGGCGCGTGCCTGTAATCCCAGCTACTCAGGAGGCTGAGGCAGGAGAATTGCCTGAACCCAGGAGGCAGAGGTTGCGGTGAGCCAAGATCGTGCCATTGCACTCCAGCCTGGGTAACAAGAGCGAAACTCCATCTCAAAAAAAAAAAAAAAAAAAAGAGTCTCAGCTCAAGTTTTTAAAAAATATTATTTTAATGTTTAAAGTTATCATATTGAGGAGACACAAATCAGGATGGCCCTGGAGTCTCACTCTCTTTTTTTTGTGTGCATGGCTCAGGGAGCTGTCCCAAGAGGACCTGGCCAGTCTTTGTGGGGGGGATCTGCTGTAAGCACTGCCCAGGCTTTCCCAAGGCTTCGTGTGCAGAGCTCAATACTCTTGTGTATTCTCCTTGGTATAGTTACTGGGCCTGAGATGAATTGGTAAACTGCTTGTTACTTAGGAAAACTTAGTGTTCCCTAGCCCTTGTTAGGTTAACCCACCTAAATATGTAAGACAAAGATAAATATGTAAGACAAAGGGAACTTGAGATTCCCATTCTCTCGGCATGTTTTTAGTGCCACGCAGAGCCAACTCATTGTACCCAGAAAGGCCTGTCCCTGGTAGGATCTTGGCCAGTGAGCATACAGACAGCTGTGGATGTCACAGTAGGGAGCTAGCCAGGCGTGAGCGGGCAGGAGGGGACTCACGCTACATCCCCCCAGGAAAGGCAGGTGACCATCAGGTGATGGTCAGGTGGTTGTGAATGGCCTCTCTAAAATAATAATTGGCCACAGCCAGTGCCAGGGAAAGGCAGGCTCATTGCTGATAGGAAACACCTGAAACTTCTGATCCTCAGCTGCTTCCTGATCAGATCTTGGGAGTTGGGGGAGCTCAAGCATTCACATTAAGAGGCAAAATGGCAGAGTTTCACTGGTATATGACTTCTGGGGGCATTCTACCAGAGAAAGGACACAAAGCCAGAAGAAGGCAAGCTGGGCACTTGACCTCCAAGATATCCACTTGCCCCTCTTCCAAGTGTACTTTACTTTATTTTCATTCCTGTTCTAAAGCTTTCTTTAAAAAAAAATAATAAACTTTCACTCTTGCTCTAAAAAAAAAGAAAAAGAAAAAGAAAAATATTTTTGGCTGGTCTCGGTGGCTCATACCTGTAATCCCAGCATTTTGGGAAGCCAAGGTGGAGGGATCACTTGAGGCCAGGAGTTTGAGACCAGCCTGGCCAACATGGAGAAATCCTCATCTCTACCAAAAATACAAACATTAACTGGGCGTGGTGGGGCATGCCTGAGGCATGAGAATCACTTGAACCCAGGAGGCAGAGGTTGCAGTGAGCTGAGATCGCATCACTGCACTCCAGCCTGGGTGACAGAGTGAGACTCTGTCTCAAAAAACAAACAAACAACACGATATAAATAAAAAAAAAATGTTTTAACAAAATAGAACAATATAAAGAAGCAAACCAAAAGTCCTTAAAATTCCCCTCATCCAGTGATATTTGTTGGGTACTATTGGGAAGGTATCCCTTTCAGGGGAAGAAAGAAATCGGAGTTGAAGTGGAAGGGCTGGGGACATGTATGTGTGTGCAAAGGTGTGCATGTGTCTGTGCTCTAGCACTGACTCTGGTGGCAGTGTGGAGGCAGTGTGCAACCTCTCAGGAGGCTGCAGAAGGCAGGAGGGCAGGCCTGAGCCTGTTGTCCATGATCATACTATATTTTCTCTGGCAAGTATATTACAGAGGGCTCTCCATAGAAACAGAACCAACACACACACACACACACACACACACACACACACACACACACAGCATGAGAGAGAGAGAGAGAAGGAATTGGCTCATATAATTAAGGAGGCCGAGATGTCCCAAGACCTGCAGTCAGCCAGCTGGACACCCAGGAGAGCCAATGGTGCAGTTCTAGTCTGAAGACTGTCAGTCTCGAGACCAGGAAGAGCCCACGTTTGAGTTTGAGTCCAAAGGCAGAAAATGACCAATGTCTCAGTGTCCCAGCTCAAGGCAGTCAGGCCCATGTTCCCTCCTACTCAACCTTTTATTCTATTCAGTATTTTGAAAGGAAATGAGGGCCACCCACATTCAAGAGGGCAATCTGTTTTCTTTCCATAATCTACCAATTCAAATGTTCATCTTATCCAGAAATACCTTCACAGACACCCAGAATAAATGTCTGACCAACTCTCTGGGCACCTTATGGTCTAGCACATAAAAATGAACCATCATAGCACAGGATGGTAGAGGTGGTGAATCTCAGTGTCTGAAACTTCCAGATCCTTCTGCATGCCCCTGAAGCCTGGGGGACCAGTTAATCCTTTTACAATTATTTGTTGTAAAAGCTGGGAATGCAAACTTGTTTGAACAAGGGCAAAACCTGCCATCAATAGGAAGGTAAGTCTCCTGGAGAAGCATAACCCAGGGCCAGTTCCAGAAAGTCCTCTACCCACTAGAGATGGCCACGGCCACAGCACTGGGGGTCAGGGCTGAGCGAGCCAAGCTCTGGAGGTAGCAGCAGGGCCTTCTGGTCTAAAATCCCTGGGTGAGGGTGAGGCTGGCCATGCCCACCAACTAGGGGAGCTTTGACCACACAATAAGCTTGAGAATTGGCTGAGTCTAGGATGCAAATTTATGCAAAATAGCAGGTGGGCTCATGAGTCCTAGCACTTTGTTCTTACCACAACAGCAACATTATTCTGATTCCCCACTGGTCTCGAATTCACTTCTCCTGTTGCACTCCCTTCTTCAGGCCCCGGCAGGGTAATCAGTTCATCTTACTCATTAAGGGAGATAGCTGAGGCTACGGAGCTGGGCTGGTGGAGGCATGGCGGGAGGGTGGGTGCTGGGTGGACATCTGGGTTGGCTGCCTCAGCCAGGTCCCCTGTGGCAAGTGCATGGCAGGCCTCAGTACTCCGGAGAGGGCAGGAAGCATACAGGTGGGGCTGAGAGCTTGCTGTGTGCTGGGTGCCAGCAGCTGGTGCAGCACTTACCCGGGTGAAAGAAGAAACAGCCCCTGCCCTGGAGAAGCTCACAGTTTAACAGGGCGACAGACGTGCAAGCAAATATCTGTGTTAAGTTTTGTAATTATAGTGCATACAAAGGCTACAGGAAGACAGAAGAAGGAGAAAATAGTCAATGTATTCAATCATCCCAGCAACCCTGGGAGATAGAATTATTGGATCATTTTCACAGATAAGGAAACCGAGGTAAGAAAAATTTCCTTCCTTCCTTCTTGCCTGCCTTCTCTCTGCCTCTCTCTCTCCCCGTTGGTCTATCCATTCTCTGCCCACATTGTACCTTTCTGTCTTTCCTTCCTTCTTTTTCGCTCGTTAAACAAATATTTACTGAGCATCTCCATGTACCAGGCATGGTGCTAGATGCTGAGAGTTGGCAGGGAAGAGGATACGCATAGTCCCTGTCCTCACAGGGAGTCACCCACCTGTGGGTGTACAGTCAGTGCATGAATCATAGTGTGGAGAGGCATGTAATTACTTTTACGGCAGGGAAAGGACAGGTGCAATGAGAACAGCAACTAGAGGTGTGGACAAGGCCCTGTGGAGCGTGAGACTCCGGCCTGGTTCCCTGACTCCTGAGTCTCAGGTCTTGCCCAGTATGTGGTAAAGGAGGGAACATTTGAACAACTCCCTGGGTAAGCTGTAATCAACGATTTCCTTAACCTATGACTGTGACTTAAAGGAAAATCTCCAGCCGAACGGCTGTGGAGTTTTAACACTAGCATGTAGGCTGTTTCTATCTGGCATTAGACAAGGCCTCCCAGCCCAGACCTGCTCTTCAAGGACACAGGCCACATCTGCACCAGTCACAGAATCTCAGAAGAGTATCCTTTCATCTAATATTTATGGAGTGCTCCAGGGCTGAAGGGGCACAACAAAGGGAGTCGTGTGGAAAGGGGACAGGAGCAGGCACTGCTGAACTCCTTAGTGTGTGTAAGCCGAAAATGAGTCTGACTCGGACACTGTGTCTGATCTTGAAAACCTAGCATTTTTGTGGAGAAGAGAGACCTGAAGTCAGTTAACTATAAGAAAAAATATTAATCCACTGATGCATATATTCATTCGTTCATCCATCCAGAATTATTACCTTTTCAGCATAGATTTTGGGCGAAGGCATTGGGCTAGGCGCAAGAGATTTTGAAAAATCAGGCTATCATATGTAGTGTTGAGTCTGACGGGAAGGGAGACTGGATTTCTATCACGTGGTGAGTGTACTGGTGGAGCCATGCCTGGGGCCCCAGAGCAGGGGCGCCTAATGTCAGTAGGGTGAGTGCTGGGCAGAAAAGGTTTCCAGGAGGGGCGGGGAGGGGAATGTTAAATGAAGCATGGGCTTGGCTAGAGAGGAGTCTTATTTCCTTACAGGGAAAGTACATCCCATCCCTGAAGTGTCTGATCCCTAGAGTGCCCTGTCGGAGCTGCATGTGGGATGCAGCACATGGATACCAGGTTGGGGATCAGTCTGAAGGGACAGACCTGCAGAAGACCATGTAGGAGGCTGAGACAGGGCTGTCCTTAGTCCTCAGGAGTGGCAGAAGCAAGGCCTGTGGGAGCCTCAAGGAGAATCGCTTGGTTCTGACTTGGAGGGACAGGGCCAGGCTTCACCCAGGAGTTGCTGTGAAGGATTGGCAGGGGGTGGGGAGACAAGAGCACACACCAGGCATGGCCAAGGGCATACATGCAGATGGCACACTCAGCTTTTTCCCCACCCCTACTGGCTGGGAGACAGCAGTTGAGGTAGCTGCAAAGGCCCTTCCATTGCCTGCCCAGGTCCACAGGGGCAGGCCCTGGTAGCTAGGTTTGTATGTTACATTGTTACACAGCAACCCTGGCCTAGATAATTGTCCAAGAGAGAACATCTGACCCACATTGCCTTATAGGCTTTCCAGCTTAGAACTAAGAAATCAAAGGCTGGGAGTGGGCAGAGCACCGGAGTCTCCTACTGAGGGCCTCAAGCTGTCATGGATTCCTTTCTGAACCCCAGTTATTCAACTCCCCTTCGAATTATCTGAGATTCTCCTTCCAAAAAATTCTTTTTTACTGTCATTAAGTGGGTTTTTGCTATTTGTAACCAAAATAATATTAACTAATACTTACCAGCCAAGGTGAATTTGTTAAGCAAAAATAATATATCTTTTAAAGCTAATTTCAGGTCCTTCTGGAACAATCTTGTCTAAAGTTGATTTAGCCAAATTACATCTACATTCCAGATCTTATAAAATTTGTGATTCTTCTAAGACCACCTGCTCACCTTGGCTTGGACACAGGTATGGCTTTCAGCATGGGCCAGGCTGGCAGCTGTCTCTGGGGTATGATGGAAGGGGAGCTAAAGTCTTCTGCCACCTACTTGCTCTGACATGGGCTAGACATCCTGGCTTTAGCATCCCTGGGGCCTGGTTATTCCTGGGATATAATATGAGTCTGCCCAGCCTGGAGATTGGGATGGAGGGCATAGGGAGAAACAAAAGGCCAGAGTGGACCTGGTCCTCTCCCCAGGGCCCACCCCTCAGTCAGTGTGGCTGGACTGCACTGGGTCTTGTAAGCTCAGGCGCAAGGAGGCTCAATGACAATGATCCAATTGCATGCGCGTCTTTTCTTTCTTCTAAGACGTCGTCAGAATGATTTTTGGCATTCTTATTGGCCTGGAAGCAATGTTAAGCCTCTCCCACGGGACTCATCAGGGAGCTAGAACAACTTACATTCTGGGTGCATTATAAATTTAATTAATTTGCACAAGAATATTTCAATTGCTTTCTCCCTTATATGAATGAAAGCCACATGATTTCCAATCTGTTTCTATGGTTTCCTTCCTCTGTTCAGATACATTCATTAGCTTGTCAGTTCATTATGGATTTTGGTGCCTTTTTCTCTCTTCAAATTTGAGCCCCTATTAATTCAGTTTTCATTTCAACAGTGTTTAAAAATAGAGCAAAATTATTTTGACTGGCACACAATCAGGTCTCTGACTGTTGAAGGAGTTTGCCACATGAGTGTAGATTTTCATTGCTTTTTCTCTTGCTTGAATGACATATGGCTGTGATCTCCTGTTTTACCTTGCAGCAAGGTTAACCAGCCTCAATCTTCTCTGGAATATTCAGCTTGACTTAAAACCCTTGGCTTTTTGGCTTGGCAGGCAACTGTATGCTCTAAAAACCATCAGGACTCTCCTCAGGGTTGGCCCAGGCAAGTGAGTCTTCCTGGAGAGGAAGATTAGTTATGCCTTTTTTATTTAGTCGTTGAAAAGCCCAGAAGCCCTGGACTCCCTCATCCCAAGACACTGAGAGCCATTATTTAATATTGCTCCAAAAAGCTGATGATTTTAATCCAAGTGCTCACCCCAAGGCTGTTAGCTCCTGCCAGCATGGGCTCAGTTCTCCCGCTGGTGACTGCCTTTCCATCTCTGGCTGCTCACCTTATTTCACCCCCAGCATGGAGGTACCCAAACCTGCCACACTTTTGGGTGCCCTGGAGAAATTTTTAGAAACTACTGATACCTGGATCCCATCCCAGCTCAACTGAGTCAGAATCTCTGAGGATGGGGTCAAGATATTCGTGTTTTTAAATACCTAATGGGAGCTGGGTTTGAGGAACATTAATTGCTCAAAGCAATGGTAAAGAGGGATGCTATGGGTTAAACTGTATCACCCCCCCACCCCAAAAAAAGCCATGTTGAGGTCCTAGCCCCCAGCACCTACGCATATGCTCTTATTTGGAAACGGTCTTTGCAGATGTGGCCAAGTTAAGATGAGGTCACAGAGGCTGGCCCTAATCCAATATGACTGGTGTCCTTATAAGAAGGGGAAATTCGGCTGGGCGTGGTGTCTCACGCCTGTAATCCCAGCACTTTGGGAGGCCAAGTTGGGCATATCACAAGGTTGAGAGATTGAGACTATCCTGGCCAACATAGTGAAACCCCGTCTCTACTAAAAATACTGTGGTGGTGTGTGCCTGTGGTTCCAGCTACTCAGGAGGCTGAGGCACAAGAATCGCTTGAACCAGGATACAGAGGTTGCAGTGAGCTGAGACTGCACCACTCTACTCCAGCCTGGAGTGAGACTCCATCTCAAAAAAAAAAAAAAGAAGGGGAACTCAGGGGCAGCACATACAGGGGAAGGCCATGCAAAGATGAAGGTAGATTTCGGTCGATGTCTCTACCAGCCAAGGAACACCAAGGATTGCTGCAAAGCAGCCGCAGTTAGGAGAGAGGCAAGGAACAGACCCTTCTTCACAGCCCTCAGGAGGAGTGAAGCCTGTCCACGCCTTGATCTTGGACTTCTGGCCTCCAGAACCGTGAGGCAGTAGCTTTCTGTTGCTCTAAGCCACCCAGTGTATGGTGGCCCTAGAAGATGAATTCAATGAGTTATCACCCTGTTTGGAGATGTCCAGCCCTGCTAGGAGAGCCAGGGAGCTGCTTTGGGATGTGTGTAAACAAGGGGGCATTCCTCATAGACCGCTGTCCTCCAGCCCGGGGCCTCCTGCAGGCAGTGAGGGTGTTGCTGTGAAAAGCCTGGCCCATGCCCCTGTCTCCTCTGGCCATTGTTCCAGGCACCTGGCTTACTCTATGCTGTCCAGACTCTGCTGGAGAACTGCTGTCTTGTCTCTGGAACTGGGCGTTGAGTCCTGCCATGCTGCCCTTCACTGGCTGTTGATTAACTCTAGTGCCGCTATGGGCTGGCTCTATCTACACCACGCCCTGCCCCTGTGCCTGAAACCCCAGCATGGCCTAAGCCTTGATTTCCTTCTTGCTGGGGCTTGGACAAGCCCTAAAAATGCCTGGGTCTCTCCCTCTGGTACCAAAGATAGGGGCTAGATCTGGTGTCTGGATATGGGACGTCCTCATGTCTATGGTGTTGGTCATTGTTGGCTGTCCCCTGGTGGGAGGCCCACTTCAACTAGTTCATAGGCATAAACATCACAACACTTCTCCTTATGAAATAAACATTTCTAGCGACTGGTACTGCAAGATGCATTTTCTGGTTTGCTTCTTCCAGCTAAAACTCCTCATGAAGTCTACATGGATGGATGACATGCAGGAAGAAACATAAACCATTTCTACTCAGAGTTCACCACATCACTAAGAATGATCAGAATGGCTGAAGCACTGGAATATTTTTAAACATGAGAAAAAGAAGATAATTTAGAATTTGTTTATCAAAGCATTCAGGTAGGAAGTAGAAAACATGGTTTGCCATCTAAATGTTTATTTTATAGATCTGAATGGGGGCAATGTAGGCCCTGAATTTTTCACTTCTTACTTGTTACTGCTGTTAGGTCTTAACCACTGTCTCCCCAGCCCTCCTCAGCAGAAGCGACTGAAGCCAGGCACCTGTGAACTCTGCCTCCCCTGGCTCAGAAGCCAATGCTGACCAGATCAGTAAGTACAGTAAGAGTCTATCTCCCACGGTGGGTGGGGCACGGAGTCAGTCTTGCTATTGTTATCCTGAGAGGGTTGCTGGCCTAAGCCCTTGTTTGCTGAATGCCAAGGGCTTCACCTGTAGACAGTGGGGTGGAGAGGTTAAAGGCGTGAACTTCAGAGTCAGGCCTGGGCTGGGTTGCTGATCTCTCTAGCTACGAGATCTTGGGCTGCTTCCTAACTTCTCCAAACCTCTTATTCCTTATCTGTAAAACAGGGGCAATAAAGATTTACCCCTTGAGGTTGCTGTGAGGCTCAGGGGAGACGACACCTGGAAAGCACTTGGGATAGAATAAATTCTCCACTAAGCAGTAGCTACCACTGTCTTTAATGCCTCCCCTCCTCCTGCTTCATGCTCCTTGTTCCTAGGTTTTCTGATGCTTCCATCTCAGGTACAGACCCCACTCTGAGACCAGTGACTACCCCTGGATTCTGGCTGTGCTTAGTCTAAGTGATGACAGTTTTCCTAGCTGTGATGGTTAATTTTGTGTCAACTTGTGCGGGCCATGAGATGTCCAGATACCTGGTTCAGCATTCTTTCTGGATGTGTCTGTGTGGGCATCTCCAGGAGGGATTAGCACTGGAACTGTTGAACTGCATAAAGCAGATGGCCCTCCCCAATGTAGCATGCACCATCCATTATGATTCAGCATCGTGAGCCTGAATCATAAGAAGATGGAGGAAGGTTGAAGTCACTCTTTATCTAACTGCTTGGGCTAGGATATTGATCTTTAGCCATGATGCTCCTGTTTCTCAGGTCTTCAGACTTGGACCAAAATCTATACCATCAGTTCTCCTACCCTCAGACCTTCAAACTACACCACTGGCTTTCTTGAGTCCCCATCTTGCAGAGAGCAGATCTTGTGACTTAGCTTCTATAAGAGTGTGAGCCAGTAGCTTATCATAAATCTCTCTCTCTCAATGTGTGTGTGTGTGTGTGTTTGTGTGTGTGTCCATTGGCTCTGTTTGGATGACACCAAATAGTACACTAGCCCTTGTCAAGGAGCTAGACTATGACTCCAGAAATCCCTTGGGTCTGCTTGGGACCCACCCTCAGTCCAGATGGACCAGAGAAAACTACAATGTCATCCCCATCTGACTTCAGGTCTTGCCCTTGCCCAGATTAGGCCCTCAAGGTGCCATTATAGGCAAAACATTGAATTGCAAAGTAAGGTGGAACCTCAATAAACCGTTCTGCACGTGTGTGTCAAAATGATCCCCTGCTTTGTGGGCTCATTTTAGCCTCTTCAGTGAATGGTCTGATGAGTCAGAATTATCCAAACCCCAAGTCCTACTCAGCACTGGTCTCTTATTGCTTGTTTATCTGCCTGCTTCCACTGGACTGGGAACAGCCTGTGACTAGGTCTTTCTTGTGTTCCCAACACAGAGCTAGGTTCTGGCACATACTAAGTGCTCTGTAAATACTGGGTGAATGCTAGGAACAAGGTCCTGTGAGCATCCCCCATTCACTGCTGTTGCAGTGGCCTGCACTTGTTGATCTCCTTTTTTTAAAAAAATGAAGCACTTACTAGGTGCCAGGCACTTAGTTGGACACTTTTTTGTTTTTAGAGACAGGGTGTCGATCTGTCACCCAGGTTGGAATACAGTAGTGCAGTCATAGCTCACTGTAACCTTGAACTCTTGGGCTCAAGGAATCCTTCCCCTTGGGCCTCCTGAGTAGCTGAGACGACATGGACTTAGCACCATGACATGGTATATTTAAAAATTATTTTGTAAATATAGTGCCTTGCTATGTTGCCCAGGCTGGTCTTGAACTCCTGGCCTCAAGTGATGCTCCACCTTAGCTTCTCAAAGCACTGGGATTACAGGTGTGAGTCACCATTTCTGCCCTGGGTACTTCTTATGTACGTTGTTTTGTTTCATTCTCACAATAACCCTGTGAGGAAGGTTCTCTTATCATCATTGGGTCAAGGAGGCCCCTGAGGCTCAGAGGTTGAAGAATTTTAGATCACACAGCTAATCAGAGACAGAATCAGGCATCAGTTCTGATCTTTGCTTAGTTACTCAGCTCCTTTATTTTTGTTTAACTTTTGAAGATCTTAAACCACATCAATCCCAACTATATAGTCACCATGTTGAGGACGGGAGCCAAGTATAATATTTCCTTGAAATTCCCACAGTGCCAGGGTGACTGATAAATAATTGTTGATTGATCCCCATAAAAGGCCTTGCTACCAGACAGCTGACCAGTCTTATGACAAGCTTTTCTCTCTGAGAAACTTCAGATCCACGAGTTGGCTCCAGGGATGAAAGCAAGTATTATGTTTGAGGATAGGATTGGGTATCAAGTCTGTAACCCTGGAACCTCAAGTTCATGGTTAAGGTTCTTAATACTTTTTAACCTTCTGTACCCTGTAGACACAGAGACAGGCAGTCAGCATGGATTAAGGGAGCCTCAATTAATGCCTACCTCTTAATATTTGGTCACTGTACAAAAGTGGGCTGCCAGGTACCGGAGATTAACCAGTCTGGATTATCTGCCTGGGCAGATTAGTTGGCTCAAGGTAGAACAGCAGAGTGCCCCTCAGCCCAGTGGAACCAAGTATAGGAAGTTGGGGCAATGGAATGTTCTGTGCAAGTGGAGGTCTTGAGAGGATTCTGTTCCATGTTGTATTAGCGTCTTAGTCTGCTGAAGCTGCCATAATAGAGTACCACATTTGGGGTGGTTTAAACAACAGAAATTTAATTTCTCACAGTTCTGGGGGCTAGAAGTTCAAGATCAAGGTCTCAGCAGGGTTGGTTTCTTCTGAGGCCCCCTCCCTGGCTTTTAGATGACTGCCTTCTCAATGGGGCCTCGCATGGTCTTTCCCCTATCCCTGTCTCTTGTCCTAATCTCCTCTTATAAGGATACTTGTCATGTTGGATTAGGGATCACCCTAATTACCTCATTTTCACTTCATCACCTCTGTAAAGGTTCTTTCTCCAAATACAGTTATACTCTAAGGTGCTGAGGGTGAGGACTTTGGCATTTGAATTTTGGAGGGACACAATTCAGTCTACAACAGTGAGATTATTGATATATCAAAAAGGGCTTGTAATGGATATACCACTCTAGTGATCACTATGGAATTTGGTATTGTAAAAGGGGCTTGCCTTCCATCATGACTAGTGGGCTTTAAGAAAGGGGCCTGTCCATGCAATTTGACCTGGGAGCCAGCATGACACACTCAAGGTGCCGAAAGAGGCAATGTGATAAGAATAGGGAGCCGAACGCTGGACAGATTGACAGTATAGCAGAGAGTAGCTATAGTATTAGCTGAGTAATTATTGATATATACACATAACACTGTATATAGTAGTTACATTAGTATGTATAGAGGTTATAGTGTATATATGTGTATGTGTATGTATAGTCCATAGTGGCGATAGTAGAATAGCCCCTGGGTCCTTGGCTCCTTCTCCTCTGATCACAACCCTTCGTTAAGCCCCAGATAAGGTTTTGCATCTCTTCTAAGTGTATAGTGTTGTAGCCACCTTGGAGCTTTTCATCCACCCAGCTCACCTCATTTTGCAATAATGACAGCCCCCAGGAAAAGCACAGATTGGATTAGCACACCGTACGGTTATTTCAGCACCCTGGGGATTCACAGCTGTGATTCACAGCTGTGAAAAGCAAAAGCTGGTTCAGCCCCATTCACTTTCTTTAAATCAGCAATGACCTAAGCAAATAAACCCCAGTGCCAGGGAAATTTAGCTGGAGTCAGTGCTCTGAAAACTGAAAGGCCACGAACAAGAATGAAAATTTTACGTTTCTCAACAGCTGAAGCCGAGAGCCAGAATTTATGGATTTGTCCATGTGGCCTTCTAGAGCTCAGATTTCTCAGAGAAATTGCCAAATTGTTTAAATGCTAATGCTATAGCTATTCCAGCCTCCCTAGAGAATTTTATTTTATCACGAGACTAGAGTTTGTAAATCCATTTCTCATCTAACATTTTCAAGTCAAACTTAAATGCAGTGCAATGCATTTTGAGCTCCTGAGAGGAGCTAGGTGCAACGTGGAATTCCTTAAGGATTTCAGGAGTAGCAAAGGAAAGTCACATGTTCCCAGCAGCCCATGAAAGATACTCACAGGGGAAGCCCAATGGAAGTATAAGCATTTGGGAAGGGGAGATTAATTCTGATGTGTGTGTGTGTGTAGGGGGGTTTGGGGGAAGCAGGAAATTCAATGAAGCATCTCTTCCTTCTGGGGAGAATGTGGGAACTAGATCTTCTCAGACTTTCTTTGCTTTGTGTTGCTTTTTGAAATGAGACATTTTGGAGGGTCGGGGAGGAGAGTACACCCCAAGGAAACACTTTGCCTTTGTGCTTGAGAGAAATAATGCAGGCGAGGAGAATGAGACCTTGGGAGGCAAAGCTAACTACAGATGGTAAAACAAAAAGAGCTGGGGAGGAGGTAAGGCAGGGACTCCCTGTGGATGGGCTGGTTTGGGAGGGCTTCTCAGAGAATCAGGACCCACCCTACAGTTAACACAGAGCAGGCACAGGTGAGGTGGCATCAAACAAATGGGTGGAAACATTGGCTAAAACATGTCATTTAAAATAACAGATTGGGCCAGGCGCAGTGGCTGGCTCACACCTGTAATCCCAGCACTTCGGGAGGCCGAGGGGCAGATCAAGAGGTCAGGAGTTTGAGACCAGCCTGACCAACATGGTGAAACCCCATGTCTACTAAAAATGCAAAAATTAGCTGGGTATGGTGGCATGGGCCTGTAATCCCAGCTACTTGGGAGACTGAGGCAGAATTGCTTGAACCCAGGAGGCAGAGGTTGCAGTGAGCCGAGATTGAGCCACTGTACTCCAGCCTGGGTGACAGAGCAATTCTGTCTTGGAAAGAAAATAAAATAAAATAATACATCGACTTGGTGAAAGTGAATAGTATTTTTTTTTCAGATATTGATGATTTTATTTTACCAGCTGGGCAGTTCAGCAACTTTTTTGTGTGTGTTATCAAGCATTTTGCTCATTTTCTAGCCTATTATGATGTTTTTTCCTTCCATCTTTTATTTTAGGCTCGAGAGGTACATGTGCAGGCTTGTTACACGAGCAAATTGTGAATCACTGGGGTTTGATGGGCAAGTGATTTCATCACCCAGGTAGTGAGCATAGCACCTGATGAACAGCTTTTCCATCCTTACCCTCCTCTCGCCTCCACCCTCAAGTAAGCCTTGACTGGTGTCTGCTGTTCCACTCCTGTGTCCATGTGTACTCACACATGGAAGATTTTTAATAGCTTGGGGGTTATTGTTTTTATCATATTTTATTTCCAATTTACTTTCAGCCAATTGTGACTCTTACTTGCTGGTCACTGTTTTCATGAAGTCTTAAAATTTTCTAATCACTCAGATTTTTGTGCCATCTGCAAAATGCTTGATTTCATGTAAAACCAATTTTGTCCAAAAATTGTGATTTTAAATTGTTAATTCATCTCTGCTAATAGGATAACAACTGTCCTAGTTAGCCTGGGACTGAGTGGGTTTCCCAGGACATGGGACTTTCAGTGCTCAAAATGGAGAATTCCGAGCAAATTGAGATGGTGGCCACCCTAGGTGACAATGCCTGCTGTGGCAGAGATGGCCGCTGTTCCCTACACATCATGCTGCATTCTTGCCCAGTTGCCCTTGCACCTAAGTAGGGCTGTGTGGCTGGTTCCTGTCAATGGCTGTGATGTGAGCAGCAAAGCAGAAGCAGGCTCTTCTCTCCCTTCTCCTCCTATTTAACATGGATGTTGACACCCCAAGCAATCTTGGAAACACTATGTATTGAAGATGGAAGAGCCTCTGTGGGATCTAGCATCTGTGGGGTCCATGGGATCGTGGCCCAGGACCTCACCATCTGCCCTGCTGCCACACTGTGGGGCTGCACAAAATCAAGAAACAGCTTCTGTCAGGTTAAACCAGTGAGATGTCAGTAGATGTTCCAGCAGTTGGTGCTATCATTATTAATGTATCTACCCAACCTTTTAAGCCATATTTTTAATTTTTTGATTTTACATTCTTTTTATAATAAAAAGACTGGGAGTTTCAACACAAATGTTGTTGCAAACTTTGCTTTAACCATTCCATGGTATTCTACAGCCACAATTTGATCCAACTTTTGTGTCAGATTTGAAGCTACAAAGACTGACACTCCCCCCATATAGATTCTGGCTCAGTCTGGACTTCGGCAGAGAATTCTCAGAACCAGAGTCGTGGACAGTCAGTGAGGAAAGAATGCCTGGCAGATTTTTCATCTGAGAGGGGTTAGGGCAAAGGAAGCATATAAGATCACTAAAGATAATAGTTTTCCTTCCATGCAACCTGCAAAAATAACATATTTATTAGCCCTTCCCCTAAGCTAAGGAAAACTGTATGTAAACTGCCTCCTGACTTCAAATCTAGAATTTCTCTAGAAAGCTAAGTCAGGCTGGCAGCTCTGTAAATACAGAGGGCATCCACAGTCAATTTGCCAACCAGAATTTCACCTGAATTTTTAAAATCCTGGGGATAAGAATGCTCCCATTGGCCAGGCACAGTGGCTCACACCTGTCATCCCAGCACTTTGGGAGGCTGAGGTGGGAAGACCATTTGCGGTCAGGAGTTCCAGATCAGCCTGGCCAGCGTGGTGAAATCCCCTCTCTACTAAAATTACAAAAATTAGCTGGGCGAGGTAGTGCATGCGTGTAGTCCCAGGTACTTGAGTGGCTGAGGCACAAGAATTGCTTGAACCCAGGAGGCAGAGGTTGCAGTGAGACAGGATCATGCCACCTGCACTCCAGCCTGGGTGACAGCAAGAGCCTATCTCAAAAAGAAAAAAGGAAGAATGCTCCCATTTATGAATTGAATGACACAATGTATTTTAAAATGCCCAGCCATACCTGACAGCGTAGATGCTCCATAAATATTACTTTTTTCTTTGCAAAAAATGATAGCAGTAATTTTTTTCCCCTTTACTCACATGATTCAATGGTTCTAAGGTGGTGTATCAGTTTGAGTCCTCTGAGACGCATATGCTAAGATGAAGTTAGATGTGCAACGTATTCACTGGGGGACATATCTGGGCTTAGGACAATTTTTTGGGAAAACCTGTGTTTGTTTTCCTTGCCCCAAAGGAAAGAAGGAGTAGGAGAAGATGCAGAGAGCCATCAAACTGTAATACTGGTCTGACACCTGGGAGAGAAGAAAGGAAGGAGAAAAGATTGGGTAGGAAGAGCTTGAGAGTTTGCAGCTGTGAGAAAGTCTTGGCCAGGCAATGGGGAATCCCAGAGCAAAGACTGCCCATCAGACGATCCTGGCTCTAAAATCCCACTGTGACCAGTCATTGTCTAGGAGCAGCCCAGGGAAAGCATGGCCTTGTGTGAGCTGCTTTGCATCCCAAAATGTCAGCAGCTAATAACCAGCTGTATTTCCTGAAACAAGTTCTCTCTAAAAGGGAGAGTTGAACCATGCATTCCCATAGTTGCCATAGAATATATGGGGAACTTTTTTTTCTCCAAATGCACAGAAGAACAACAACCTCTACTATTACTTTTTACTTTTTCTTTTTTTTGAGACAGAGTCCCACTCTGTCTCCCAGGCTGGAGTGCAGTGGTGCTATCTTGGCTCACTGCAGTTTCTGCCTCCTGGGTTCAAACAATTCTCCTGTCTTAGCCTCCCAAGTAGCTGGGACTACAGGTGCACGCCACCATCCCTGGCTAATTTTTGTATTTTTAGTAGAGACGGGGTTTCATCATATTGGTCAGGCTGGTCTCAAACTCCTGACTGGGTGATCCACCCACCTGGGCCTCCCAAAGAGCTGGGATTACAGGTGTGAGCCACCAAGCCCGGCCAAACTCTACTATTATTGTCTGTTGAGGTTTTCATATAGATTTCAGCTAACAGCTAAAAACCGAACTTTCAATAACTAAACAAAACAAGCTGGTGAAAAGCTCTGCTAGGACAGATTGGGTTTTGCAACATAGCCAGCAGGTGGAAAAGCCTCCCATGTAATGAAACCCGAAGCAGCACGGCAGCCGTGCAGCCGAGAATTCAGGAGCTGTTTGGCATATGCTGGGTTAATTTCAAACCCTTCAAATGAGACTGCAAAGTGTGCCACTCAGCAGAGGTTCTATTACTGAGTGAATGAAGCCTTATAATTAATTCTCCACTTTTAAGATGTAAAATGAGAAGTTCACTGAGGCCTCGAGCATGTTGGGAGAATGACAGCACTTGAGGATTAGCAGACTGAGGCTTAGGACGATTTTTGGGGAAAACCTATTTTTATTTTCCGTGCCCCAAAGAGACAAAGGTTTAAAGGGGAGTTAATGGGGGATTTAGAGACAGGGCTTTATTTCCAGAGTTTTCATTGGCTCAGGTTACTGGGCTGATCTGGATGTCAGTGTCTTTGGTACCAAAAAAACCCTGTGTAATATAAAAATCACCTTGCTCTGCTAGTTCTCATTTTCATGTGGGAAATTGATAAGTTCAAATTTTAAATTGATAGCGAATACCTGGTATGGGCCCAAGTTTTGTGGAGCTTGAAGTTTAAATAATTTGAGGTGTACTTTAAAGAAAGAAGAATAGAAAATATTGAAACAAATTAGGTAGGAAAATAAATACTTAGAATGAGAAAAGAAATCATAACAAATTACAGATTGGAAATATTGGACAAGCAGCATAATATGCAAAATCCAGAAAAAAACTGCTATTTGAATAAGTTAAGTACCTGACACACTTCCCTAATACTTATAGCTTCCATTTTTTGGATGCATACTTGTTATCCGTTTTAAATTTTTTTCTTTTCTTTCCTTTCCTTTTTTTTTGTTTTTTTTTGAGATGGAGTCTTGCTCTGTTGCCCAGACTAGAGTGCAATGGTGCCATCTCGGCTTACTGCAACCTCTGGTTCCTGGATTTAAAGGATTCTCCTGCCTCAGCCTCCTGAGTAGCTGGAACTACAGGTGTGCAACATCACACCTGGCTAATTATTTTTGTAGTTTTAGTAGAGATGGGGTTTTGCTATGTTGTCCAGGCTGATCTGAAACTCCTGACTTCATGTGATCCACCTGCCTCAGCCTCCCAAAGTGCTGGGATTACAGGTGTAAGCCACCACACCCAGCTGTTACCCATTTTTTTAGACTGAGTTTTGCTCTTTAGATGGAGGTTTGCTCACCGCAACCTCCGCCTCCTGGGTTCAAGCTATTCTCCTACCTCAGCCTCCCAAATAGTTGGGATTACAGACATGTGCCACCACGCCTGGCTAATTTTGTATTTTTAATAGAAACAGGGTTTCTTCATGTTGGTCAGGCTTGTCTCAAACTCCTGACCTCAGGTGATCTGCCCACCTCGGCCTCCCAAAGTGCTGGAATTACAGGCGTGAGTCACCATGTATTTTTTTATAGCAATAATTTTATAATATCCTTTTCTGAAGAGAGATTAAAAAGATAATTCAGACTTGTCTAGCATGGTTGACCAAAAAAATTTTAATTGACAGTCAGGATGTATAAAATATGTGATTTCATTTACTGAAGTACAAACTATTTGTATTATTAGCTATATGTTTGTGTGTTACAAAGGAATGCTAAGACATTATCTTCCATGTAATTCCCATAGGAAAAAAAATGCATGATATGTTTATATTTGTATATATTTTATTACTGAGTATATTCCTAATGAGAGAACTTCTAGTTTGACTCAGCATCTGTGGAGAATTATCTAAAATAAAATCGGATCAAGTTAGGAAAAATTTTAGTTTATTGTCATACAAAAAGTATAGATATTGATCTGGGAGACTTCAAACCAAGTTGTAAGAAGCTTGCCTTGGCCAGGTGTGGTGGCTCACGCCTGTAATCCCAGCACTTTGGGAGACTGAGGTGGGTGGATCACCTGAGGTCAAGAGTTTGGGACCAGCCTGGCTGATATGGTAAAAACCGACTTTACTAAAAATACAAAAATTAGCCGGGTGTGGTGGCACATGCCTGTAATCTCAGCTACTTGGGAGGCTGAGCCAGGAGGATCTCTTGAACCCAAGAGGTGGAAGTTGCAGTGAGCAGAGATCGTACCACTGCATTCCAGCCTGGGAGACAGAACAAGACTTCATCCCAAAACAAAAACAAACAAAAAAGCTTGCTTACAACAGTTACAATACAGTTTGTACAGCATAGGGAGGATGTATTTTGACCTTTTTTTGTGATTTGTTGTTATATATTACCTTTATTTAGGGCAAACAGAGCTGTTTAAACTGATTTGTCTGTAGCTGATTAATTTTGCTGAAATATACTGACAAGGGTGTAAAACTTACATTTTGTGTTTATGATTAGAATTAGAGTTTCAAGGAAATTGGAATGACTTATGTTTTGGTTGTGTGGTTATGGGCCACTTGGGGTATAGCTCAACTGTGGGCTTTTATTTCTCTTTAACAGAACTGAATTCTCTGCTCACAGTTTCATGTGTGTCAGGATTGGAAGGATGTTCCCTAGACAAGCTTCTGGTCTTAGACATTTCGAACCTTGCTTCTCTTCCACCATCCGCGTGTTTGCAAGGCCAGTGCCAGAGCGCACTCCCTGATGCCAGCATGACTCCCCTGCCCTGCATCTTCACAGTGGCCTGACAGGGGCTCTCCTGGAGGCCATTCTTAGCACTGTGACCCCAACCACGATTTAACTATGCATAGAAAAGATGGCAAAAGGACGCAGAAGTGTATCTACTAGACCCAAAAAAATTAAGAGAATCCTCAGCTTAATTCCCCTTTAGTAGGATCCCTAAAAGGCTTGCAGACTCTGCATTCCAACAAGCGGAAGTGAATGAAGGGGGAATTAAAAGAGGTATCAGTGTTAACAACTCATGGTTAAAATACCTCACTTCTGCAAATTTACCGAAGTATCCAACCACAAGAAAAATTTTGTTCATGTGAGAGATCTTTCTCAGTAAATCCACCTCTAGTGAAGATCCAAGGGAAATTGCTCCACATAAGGGGGAGATGCCTGTTTTGAAATGAAACTAAGGTCTGTGACACTGACAGGCAGGCTGTTTCCTCTTCATACAAAATATTCTTGAAAACTGGCTAGAAGGTTGACTGTGAGAAAATGAAAGAGTAGACTTGGGAGATCTATGGGCAGAGGAGATGCTCTGATTTGAGACAGTTCAAAAACAGTAAAATTCCAAATAGTTATTCTCTTTTAGGTACAATTTCTAATTTGTTTTTAGAAAGGGTGTTCATAAGATTGTAGAATTTGAAAGGCACAAAAGAAGATACATTGAAAAGACTGTGTCACATGTCGGTCCCCAACACCTAGTTCTAGTACCCCAAGGCAACCACGAGTACTGGTTTCTTGTGTTTCAGTTCTGTTCATGCAAACAACTATGGGTATACATGATCATATTCATATTTATATTTAAATTTTTTACTATATGTCCATGTGTATTATGGTCTTTTTTCCCTTAAAACTTGCAAGAAATGATTTCTCTTCATAAAAATCTTTCTTATTCTTTTTTGCAACTGCATAATAATCCACTGTCAGAATTTATAGCTAGTGCCCTATTAATGGATATTTGGTTCATATGTGATTTTTCTTAGCATAAATAATGCTTAAATGCATGCATTATTTCTCCTATGAACAAGGATGCCTGTAGCATAAATTCCTTGAATTGGAATTGATACATAAAGACTACTTGTGACTTTTACTAGATATTGCTAAGCTGGCACCCACAGAGGTTGTACTAGTACATCGTGACCTGCAGTGTGTGACAGTGCTTCTTTCCTTACATCCTCACCAACAAAGTCTGTCTTAGAACTTTTGATCTCACTGCAACCTCCGCCTCCTGGGTTCAACAGATTCTCCTGCCTCAGCCTCCCAAGTAGCTGGGATTACAGGTGCCCACCATCATGCCTGGCTAATTTTTTGTATTTCTAGTAGAAACGGGGTTTCACCATGTTGGCCAGGCTGGTCTCAAGTTCCTGACCTCAGGTGATCCACCTCCCTCTACCTTCCAAAGTGTTGGGATTACAAGCGTGAGCCATACAACATGAGTGAAACTCCGTCTAAACAAAACAAAACAAAACTTTTCATCTTTTCCTGTCTGAATGATAAAAAATGGCATCCAAGTGTGGTTTTTCATGTGCACTGTTTTCATTATAAATGCATCTCTCTGACTCTGCTTTCATTGCCATATCTCTCACTCTCTTCTTCTCCTTCTGCCACTTTTAAGGATACTTCTGATTGCGTTGGGCTCTTGCCAATTTTAAAGTCAGCTGAGTAGCAACATTCATTTCATCTGCAATTGGGCACCTTTTCATGTTTCATTGTTTTGCTTATCTGTGGGCTATTTTTCTTTTGCTCTATTGTTTTTGTTATTGAGTTGTAGGAGTTCTTTACATATTAGAAAAATTAGCCCTTTGTTTGAGATATAAATTACATGTGCCCCCCCATTACCCCTCTCCCAGAGTTGTCATGTGGATTTGACTTTGCTTGTGATGATTCTTGTCTTGAAAATATTAAAATCTTAAATTTTATATAAGAGGATTTATCTGATTTTTCTTCTTGGTTTTGAGTTTTTGTGTCATACTTGGGCCTTCCTTGCTCTGGGTTAAAAAGAATTCTGTGATTCTTCTGCTTTTATGGTTTCATTTTATATTTTACATTTAAATATTTGTGCCACTTGTAGTTTATTTCAGTGTAAGATGTGATGTGTGGCTCTAATTTTTTTCAGATGATCACTCAGTTAATCCAACATTATCTTTTCTAAATTGATTTAAAATTCTATCTTTATTATTATTATATAATTTCCTTCATGTATCTGGTTTTATTTCAGTTCAGTGTCTCTGGACTGTTGTTTATGTATTAGAATCATACTGTTCAGTAGCTTTATGTTTAAATACCTGGTAGGAACAGTTCCACTTCATTATTTTCCTGGCTATTCTTATTTTTTTTCCATAGGAACTTTAGAATCAACTTGTTCACTTAAAAAGTTTCAATTGGAATTTACTTGGAACCACGTCAAATGTGTTGGCCAACTTAAGGACAAAAGGAAATCCTTATGGTGTAGAGGCTTCCTATCTAAGAACACAGTAGGCTTTTCAATTTCTCCAATACCTTTATCCTGTCCTGAATTTTCCTGTTGTTAACAAGGCTTCAATGTAGGTGTAATTTCTCATATGTGCACATATGCCTATAGGATAAATTCTTTGAATTGTTAGTGATTTAAGTGGTAATTTAAACATACCTTATAAATTTTTGGTTAGCTTCCTAGGGATTTTTTTAAATTATTGCCATTGTAAATAGGGTTATTTCTTCTATTTTTCTAATTATTGGTTGGTTGTATACATTGATTTCTATACATTAAAATTGTAGTCAACTCTTTTACTAAATTCTTTTTGTTTATAATAGCTTTTCACTTGACTTTCTTAGTTTTTGCATGTGAACAATCTTATAAGTCAAAGAATTATAATTTTATCTTCTGTTCAATTTTTATTCCTTCAGTTTCCTTCTGCTGGTTGCTTGATTGGCTAGTACCCTAGAATGAGGTTAAGTAATTGAAGGGGGCAGTGGTAGACAGTCTGGACATTTTGTTTCTGACCTACATGAGGATGTTCCTAGTATTTCCTCATTAAGCTGGCTTAGGGCTGAGCAGAGAGAGCAAGTTATTACATTATCTTAAAGAAGTATGCATCTCTTTCCTTAAGAGTTTGTATCAATAATAAACATTGATGAAATATACATCCTGGCTGTGTATCCATTTAGGTGTTTAAGACAACTGATTTGAAGTGAATCTTCATTTGCCAGTTTGGGCATGTCAGATCTTCCAAGCACATGAAACTCACGATGCCTGTGCTTCCTGTTGCCACAGATCCATGAGAATGCTTTGAAGTATTACTCTCTGCTCCCCGCTTGCCTCTCCACCCAGTGGGTGAGACACACACATGTTACTCAGGGAGAGGGACGTTATCCCAGGAGAGCAGAGGAAAAAATGGCTGACTGATGGCCAAGGAAAAGCCCCCAGCATCAATACTGGTAAAGATCATTTGGAATATCATTCTGTAGAAATGATCTTCCATAGAAAACCTTTTAATTCTTACTTTCCAGTATTTTTTTTAAATGGAGAATGCAGTAACATGTCAAAGAATTGCACAATCACTAATGAGCTAAGGTGACACTCCGGCTGAAACAAAGGGTGGTGGCTTGGAACTGCTAGTATGAGCAGTCCCACTATCATGTAATTGCTCAGTCTGGAAGTGTCTTTGGCTTTCTTATTGTCCTCCTGTTACAGGAAAGGGGTCCTGATCCAGATGCCTAGAGAAGGTTCTTATATCTCACACAAGAAAGAATTCAGGGCGAGTCCATAGATTGAAGTGAAAGCAAGTTTTTTAAGAAAGTAAAGGAATAAAGAATGGCTACTCCAGGGATTGAGAAACCCTGAGGGCTGCTGGTTCCCCATTTTTATGTGTCTTTCTTGGTGATATGCTAAGGGGTGATAAACAAGGGGTGGATTATTCATGCCTCCCCTTTTTAGACCATATAGGATAACTTCCTGTTGTTGCCATGGCATTTGTAAACCGTCATGGCGCTGATGGGAGTATAGTAATAAGG